AATAAAAAAATTTTCAATCCATATGATCTAGTAGTACATAATAAAAGTATAATAAGCCATATACAAATATGATGATATCATAGTAAATTCATGACATGTGAATGAATAATCATTTTCATACTTTATAATGCGTCTATATATAGTTACAATCAGTTTTAGGAACATCTACCCGAAATATTTCACCTTCTTTATTGCATTTGTGATTTGTGAACGTCTTATCAACATTTTGGCCATTTAAACGGCATGCGTCCTCCATATCAACAAGGGGAGATGCTCTGCAAAAAGGCCTTTTTATTGGTTCTACTGATATGCTTTGGTGTCGATCTTCGACGTAAAAATAGTTGAATTCCACACAAAATGTTTTACTCATTTTTGGTTTAAGGAAGTGTGTAGGTCGCATTCTTTATCATACAGCTATATATTTAGAACCGTCTGCTTGATAGGAATCCAGCCATGTTTGTGTCATGTCTGTGTCGTGAGCAAGTCAACATAGAGAGCTGCTTTTCTTAGGACCACCCCTTTGACGTGACGTGGCAAAGAGCTGACAAAATAGATCGTAAAGACACAACCGACCACTGGATGGAGGCAGAGACACATTTCTTAGACATAAAAGCCTCAGTGTCTTAGAACTGTCTAGTTTTTTTGTGTTCTGGCTTACACTACATGACCATAAGTATGTGCTCCTCGAAGATCTCATTCCAAAATCATGGGCATTAATATGGAGTTGGTCCCCCCTTTGCTGCTATAACAGCCTTGACTCTTCTGGGAAGGCTTTACAGTAGATGTTGGAACATTGCTGCGGGGACTTGCTTCCATTCAGCCACAAGAGCATTAGTGAGGTCGGGCACTGATGTTGGGCTTGGGTCGCAGTCGGCGTTCCCATTCATCCCAAAGGTGTTCGATGGGGTTGAGGTTAGGGCTTTGTGCAGGCCAGTCAAGTTCTTCCACACCGATCTCGACAAACTATTTCTGTACGGACATCGCTTTGTGAACGGGGGCATTGTCATGCTGAAACAGGAAAGGGCCTTCCCTAAAAAGTTACAAGCACAGAATCATCTAGAATGTCATTGTATGCTGTAGCATTAAGATTTCCCTTCAGTGGAACTAAGGGGCCTAGCCCGAACCATGAAAAACAGCCCCAGACCATTATTCCTCCTCCACCAAAAATTACAGTTGGCACTATGCATTCGGGCAGGTATTGTTCTCCTGGCATCCGCCAAACCCAGACTGCCAGATGGTGAAGCGTGATTCATCACTCCAGAGAACGCATTTCCACTGCTTCAGAGTCCAATGGCGGCGAGCTTTACACCACTCCAGCCGACGCTTGGCATTGCACATGGTGATCTTAGGCTTGTGTGCAGCTACTTGGCCATGGAAACCCATTTCATGACGCTCCTGACGACCAGTTCTTGTGCTGACGTTGCTTCCAGAGGAAGTTTGGAACTCAGATGATTTTTACACGCTACACTCTTCAGCACTCAGCGGTCCAGTTCTGTGAGTTTGTGTGGCCTACCACTTCGTGGCTGAGCCGTTGTTGCTCCTACACGTTTCCACTTCACAATAACAGCACATACAGTTGCTCTAGCAGGGCAGAGATTTGACGAACTGACTTGTTGGAAAGGTGGCATTACATTTTAGTCATTTAGCAGACGCTCTTATCCAGAGCGACTTACAGTTAGTGAGTGCATACATTAATTTTTTATTTTTTCATACTAGCCCCCCGTGGGTGCCACGTTGAAAGTCACTGAGCTCTTCAGTAAGGCCATTCTACTGCCAATGTTTGTCTATGGAGATTGCATGGCTGTGTGCTCAATTTTATACACCTGTCACCAACGGGTTTAGCTGAAATAGCCCAATCCACTAATTTGATGCGGTGTCCACATACTTTTTTATTTATAGTGTATAAAACGGTGGGAAATTAATAAAATAAGTCATGTTAACGTATTGGTCCCATATTACTAGCATGCAATGACTACATCAAGCTAGTGATTACAAACTTGTTGGATGCATTTGCAGTTTGTTTTGGTTGTGTTTCAGATAAGGTTGAGGCCAATAGAAATGAATGTAAATAATGAATTGTGTCATTTTGGAGTCACTTTTATTGCAAATAAGAATATAATATGTTTCCGAACACTTCTACATTAATGTGAATGCTACCATGATTACGGATAATCATAAATGAATCATTAATAATGATGAGTGAGAAAGTTACAGAGGAACAAAGATCATACCCCCAAAACATGCTAACCTCTCACCATTACCAATAACATGGGAGTTAGGATTTTTTTGGGGGTATAATATTGATGCCTCTAACTTTCTCACTCCTCATTATTCACGATTCATTCATGATTATCTGTAATCATGGTAGCATCCACATTAGTGTGTTCAGAAACATATTCTTCTTCTTACTTACAATTAAAATGACAATTCATTATTTACCATTAATTTCAGAAACAACCTAAACAAACTGTAAATGCATCCAACAAGCTTGTAGAGTCACAAGCTTGATGTAGTCATTGAGTGCTAGGAATATGGGACCAATGTACTAAACTTTGGACTACTTTAATACACTAAGTGCATTTGGCCAAATTCGTATGACACCTTCAAATGGGGGACTAGACACAAAGTGCTTTCATTTCTAAACGGTAAAACAGATATGTATGAAAATACCCTCAAATAAAAGGTGATATTATGTACTGTCGCCTCATAAAACATTTGATCTCAAATCCAAAATTCTGGAATATAGAGCCAAATTAAACTTTTAGCTTCCCTGTCCAAGACGTAGGGGCGCTGTTGAACTGGATTCTCTGGGAGGGAAGAGACGCCCATGTTGGCGGTCATCTTGGTGACCATGTGGCGGCCATTTTTAGATGCTCAACACTGGCTGACGCATGTAAACAAAAACGTAGGAGACCCAACAGCCTGTGTCATCATCAGCTAGAACCCAGCTAACCCTCTCTAACCTGTCCTCAATAACAGTACAGGACCTCCAATAACAGTACAGGACCTCCTTTCCCCTATTTCCACACAATACAGAGCAGCTATGTGACAACACATCCTTAGGAGGCTCCATAAAGTGCTCTGGTTGGAAGAGATATTACAGACACATTTCATGTTTTGACAAAAAGGGTATTCTTTGGCATACATACACCACCGTCCGTCGTCTTTCCTATTAAATTATGCCACACACAAAACTTCAACAAAAATAGAACTCTGAACATTGCAATGAATCCCAATCACCATACTAAATAACACTGCAATATAATCATCGATCCAATTAATCTCAAGGAAGCTGTTTTAAAATAAAGGGCTTTTGTCTTTTAATCTATTTGATCAGGACAATTTATCAAAGGAAAAAAATGAATAAAACCAAAAGAATAAAAACTAAGATCTAAAGAACTAAAACAAAAACAATTTAATTCTAAATGTGATCATGAAACATAAGGTGTTCACATGTTTCTGATAAGAACCAATCACACTCCAGAAAGCTCACACACCTATCTGACCACAACCAATCACGTCACCTCATCAATATCTCAATCTGGCATGTCATTCAGGTCAAATATCCATAGTTCTGATTTGTGGAAGTAATACTCATTATTGAATCGTGAGATCCACATACTGTATGTGCTGTAGCCAATTCTCAAGTATTGTCAAGCCACGTATGTTGTTTTTGGCATGACAATGAAGGAACACAAGCTAGAGGTTGGCTATGGCACATTAAGCATGGACCGCCAGGCTACTATAATAAACTAGCCACATTATACGGTGCGTGTGTGTGTTCTGTACAATGGGCTTCATCTCACACAGCTGACTGACCCTGTTCTCCTATAGCTTTGAACAGAAATGGCAGGAAAACACTTTTCCCTGATGTCCTTATAATCTACAGTACAGTATATAGCCAGAGTGTGAAGATCTACTATAAACCCCATCAATACATTGCCACTGTCATGCAGACAACTCTACAGTGGTGCGTGGTGTTCGAGCATTTCACTCGTGGCATAATTAGCCGACACCAGTGACTGTGGACAAAAGTGAGTTTACCTGTTAACCATTGGTGCCGTGTCCATGCCCTACGACAATTTACCATGTCAACGGGTGCATATACCTATAGTCTGTGTGAATATACTGAAATCCAATATATAGGGGAACCTAGATTACAACTTCTCCCATTCTGTTGCTGAGCGGATGAGACTAGGAAGTATGACAACGTGAGACTGTTTCCAGAGTAACCCCATACGACCCTCTAAATGAAGTACTGTGATACAGACAGACCACACTGGGGCCAAAAACAGTTGTCCTCCATGTTCACAAAAAGGAGGAAGCTGTGGAGAAAACACAGCCGAGATGTTAGGTCAGAGCTGAGCTTTCTCTCCCCGTGGTGACATATTTGAGGCTCAGGAGCCTCCACAGCAATGTTCTCTCCGGTTCTGGGCTGTAGCTGTATTTTTAGTTCTGCTCTACACTGTCCACAGAGAGACAGGGATTCGGGGAGCTAGGTAAGGTGACCCGCTTTCTCCATGAACGACCGATTGTCTAAAACCAAGGTGGCTTTTGTCTAAGAAATAAAATAAACCGGAAATAAACGTCTATTTCTCCACAGAAAGGTGGCAAATTTGGCACACTTAATTTTCTTTAGCACAGGGGCTTCTGCAGCATCTTCAACCTAAACATAAAGCCACACAGCTAGGCTATCTATCTTCCTTCTCTGAAACCCACACGATGCTGATACATTGTATTCACCTAAGGCAAAAGGATTGTGATAGAGTGATGTGTTGTTGTCGAGTTAGCCCCCCCCTTTTCCCCCGTCAGTAAAAATAGTACAAAGAGATGGAGAGGGAAAACAGGGGGATGGAGAGAGGATAGAAATTGGGTTTGAGAGAGAATAGAAGCAGGGAAGGAAGGAGTGAATCCCTTTTACAGTTCTGCCATTGCGGGAAGACATTCAGAAGGTATTTCTTTCTTTCTTTCTTTCTTTCTTTCTTTCTTTCTTTCTTTCCCCTTCATCCCAGAGACAGGATATGAGGATATCCACCCCTCCAAGTCGCTCGCTTTCTTTTTCTCTTCCTCTCTCTCCATCGTTCCGTCTCTCTCTCCATTCTCAGGGGGATGTATTGAGCAGCTTGGTGGATTTATTGGGGTAATTGATAGCCAGACTGATGGCTGCGATGTTCTTCAGAGCCTGCATGATAAAAAAAAGAGAGGAAAGTGAGTGAATGAGTAAGTGAGTGAGAGAGGAGGGGATGTGGGAGAGAGAGAGAGAGAGAGAGAGAGAAAGAAAGAAAGGTGGGGAGGAGGGAGTGTGTGAGAGTGGAGGAGTTGAGCAAGGAGAGGAGTTACAGTGCATTCAGAACGTATTCAGACCCCTTGACTTTTTCCACATTTTGTTACGTTACAGCCTTATTCTAAAATTCATTAAATTACATTTTTTCCTCATCAATCTACACACAATACCCCATAATGACAAAGCGAAAACAGGTTTTTAGAAATGTTTGCTATTCTATAAAAAATAAAAAACAGAAATACCTTATTTACATAAGTATTCAGACCCTTTGCTATGAGACTCAAAATTGAGCTCAGGTGCATCCTGTTTCCATTGATCATCCTTGAGATTTCTACAACTTGATTGGAGTCCACCTGTGGTAAATTCAATTGATTGGACATGATTTGGAAAGGCACACACCTGTCTACATAAGGTCCCACAGTTGACAGTGCATGTCAGAGCAAAAACCAAGCCATGAGGTCGAAGGAATTGTCCATAGAGCTCCGAGACGTAGGCCACTCTGTCCCCAAGAACAGAGTGGCCTACATTATTCTTAAATTGAAGAAGTTTGGAACCACCAAGACACTTCCTAGAGCTGGCCACTCGGCCAAACAATCGGGGGAAAAGGGCCTTGGTCAGAGAGGTGACCAAGAACCCGATGGTCACTCTGATAGAGCTCCATAGTTCATCTGTGGAAATGGGAGAACCTTCCAGAAGGACAACCATCTCTGCAGCACTCCACCAACCAGGCATTTATGGTAGAGTGGCCAGACAGAAGCCACTCCTCAGTAAAAGGCACATGACAGCCCGCTTGGTGTTTGCCAAAAGGCACCTAGACTCTCAAACCATGAGAAATAAGATTCTCTGGTCTGATGAAACCTTGCACCATCCCTACGGTGAAGCATTGTGGTGGCAGAATCATGCTGTGGGGATGTTATTCAATGGCAGGGACTGGGAGACTAGTTAGGATCGAAGGAAAGATGAATGGAAAAAAGTACAGAGAGATCCTTGATGAAAACCTGCTCCAGAGTGCTCAGGACCTCAGACTGGGGCAAAGATTCACCTTCCAACAGGACAATGACCCTAAGCACACAGCCAACAATGCAGGAGTGGCTTCGGGACAAGTCTCTGAATGTCCTTGAGTGGCCCAGCCAGAGCCCGGACTTGAACCCGATCGATCATCTCTAGAGAGACTTGAAAATAGCTGTACAGCGACGCTCCCCATCCAACCTGACAGAGCTTGAGAGGATCTGCAGAGAAGAATGGGAGAAACTCCCCAAATACAGTTGTGCCAAGCTTGTAGCGTCATACCCAAGAAGACGAGGCTGTAATCACTGCCAAAGGTGCTTCAACAAAGTACAGAGTAAAGGGTCTGAATACTTATGTAAATGTGATATTCCCGTTTTATATATTTTTAATAAACTTGCAAACATTTCTAAAAACCTGTTTTTGCTTTGTCATTATAGGTATTGTGAGTAGATAGATAAGGGATAAATACTTATTATATTTTAGAATAAGTCTGTAATGTAACTAAATGTGGAAAAAGTCTAAATACTTTCCGAATGCACTGTATATACACAATTAAAAACGAAAAACTATGTTAAGTGAGAATAGGCATTGGTCTGAAGCCGAAAAATAAAGGAAATTCACATGAGCACCAAAATGCCTATTTCACCCATGCTCTACCAAGGTTTTCCAGCACACAGCTTTGACCTACAGTAGCGTTGTTGGTATTGTACTTCAAACTATGTGTAGGCAGGTTTCTTAGGATTAAAACCTTCTCAAACTTTATGGACGCTATAGTCTCGTTTTAATCCGATGTCTAGAATGAGCTAGGTAGGCGCAATACATACTTTTTTTAAATGAATTGCTAATGACCCTGTTAAAAAATCTGGTTTGTGGTTCTCGGTAAAGGCCGGACGGCTCATGACGAGAGGCGGGAAGTGTGTTGTGTACCTCCAATTAAGTTGATTTGCAAGTTTTCATCGAGATTGGTGTCATACTGTCTTAGATATGATGGTAGGGAGATTTGAATTGAACACTGAGCTTCAACCAATGCCTATAATAGATGAAGATCAATGAGGTTTTAGACATCTTTATAAAATACAGTCTTTTACATATTGTTGAATGTAAAGGAGAACTTCTCCCTCAAAATCTAATATGTGTACACTGATGACATCACTCATGTTCTTAGCAGCCTGGCCAGGTAAACATAGACAGAACAAACAATTAAATAAACCCATAATAGAACATTGACTTGAATGGGAATGTCCGTTCTAGTAATTCTATTTCTATGCAGATAAACCCTTCTCCGCTCTGACAATCAGACATTATAATTTAATCGTGCATCTCACACCCCGGAATCTCCCCTCCCACACCCAATCCCCTCCACTCCCACCACCCCTGGATCCCCTCCTCCCTCCACACTGCTTGGCTGCTGCCCCCTTGCCCCTCTGTTCGGGATCACAGCATAGCGGAGCAGAGATGACGTTCACTAAGCCACGCATGATAATGGGAAGTAATTACCAAATACATTAGTACAGAATGGAGGGTGTGTGTGTGTGTGTGTGTGTGTGTGTGTGTGTGTGTGTGGAGTCCGCTGTGTGTCACTAGCATTATGATTCACCATTAGAGGAGGAAATGAGGAACAGCTGAATATCATAACTAAAGACTACCGGTATTCTCACTCTGGGGCTCATCAAACCCTGATTGACAAATGGGAAAACAACAGTCTTAAAAGTGGTATATCAATGTCATTTGTACAGCATGGATGGAGAATGTTTTGGAATATTATGGAGATCTGGGTCTGGAAGCACAGTGAGAACGTTATCTAGCCTATATGTTTGAGCCCACATTCCAAAACGCATCATTCATGATATTGATAACCATCTAGGTCAAAGAGTAGTCCTAGGCAAAGTCTAAGTACTTAGAAGATGTTTGAAAGAATAGTTTCTAAGCATTCCCATCCTGAGTGAGTTGAATAAGAAAACGTTGAGTAGTTAAAGCTTTAAATCTTTATATGAGATTTTAAAAAAGTGTCACTTTCAACATTGCTAGTCAATCCCTGTCTTCAACATTACCAGGTACAAAGTGGTGCAAGTCCATACAACTATCATGTGTCTGCTGGCCAACACATTATCAGGTGCTGTATATGAAGAGGTCTAACTGTAAGCTCTTACCAGTGCTGTGCGGGCGAGGAGCTGTTCATTGGTGGTCAGGGCTAATAGGTAGTCCTGGAGAATGCCTTCCTCCTGGAAAACAAAGACAATGGTTTGTAGTCCTTCTCAATAAGACCTTGCTCATCCCCCCTCACATGCTTGCTGCACTGTGACTCCCACTCACAGAGCATACATTGAGCAATACATCTCAGGTACAAACACTCATTTACAACCCATACTCTTGACCCTGTCATTCCCGGAGTGAATATGCCATGGCTTTCAAATCATCGATTTCTGCCAAAAGTGCCCATACTACCTACAGTACACATTCACTGGAAAGAGTTATGAAACATTCTAGAGACAAACTCTCCTAGTGACAAGTGAGATTCTCTGACCACTTACCTCAGAGTACTGAGAACAGCTTTCTGTGGTATGTAGAACTTAGCGTAGGAAAATCCTTCAAAATTACTAACAAATAAAATAGAGCTTTCAGCAGCAGAAGCCAATTCTGAGAAAAAAAAACTGTCATGCAGACCTGGGTTCAAATAGTATTCGTTTTCTGTCAGATACTTCAGCTGTGCTTAATTGAGCATGTCTGGCGCAATGGAACTAATGGAATAGTCCCAAGAAGTGCAACTCCAAACCTCGCCCACTTGGCACTCCAGACAGGCTCAACCAAACTCTGGAATTAGACAAAAAACTAATCCTATTTGAACACAGGCAGTTCTGGTGTTACTGTTGTTATATAACCGTGGAGAGAGAGAAGAGTTCTAGAACATAGATAAGACTAAATAGAGTCTAAATGGGCTGTGACTTCACATGACTGGCCAAATGGAGCTTTTATGGTGTAGCTAGTAGGAGAGGGAAACACAATCCAGATCCTCATACCTCCATCCCTCAGTCTTGCAAGCTGCTAAATGGCACCCTATTCCCTATTTAGTGCACTACTTTTGACCAGGGTCCATAAGGCTCTGGTCAAAAGTAGTGCACTATATTGGGAATAGGGTGCCATTTGGGACGTCTCCTCACTCTCCCTATCCCAGCCTGCTGTTTATACCAAGGTAACATCCTTGAACTATTTGTACAGCTGACAGTGCATGACAATCCCTGACATGTATACAGCAGGAGATATAGGCTAATATAACTAACGGATCACTTTGATGATGTTGGAAACGCCTTTATACAAGAGTCACTTCCTGTCTGAAGTACATTATGTGTGCGTCCCAAATAGCACCCTATTCACTACATAGTGTACTGCTTTTGAAAAGCAAAAGTAGTACACTATATAGGGAATAGGGTGCTATTTGGGATGCACCCTATGTCTTAGAAAGGAAATAGGGTGCTATTTGGAATGCACCCTATGTCTTAGAAAGGAAATAGGGTGCTATTTGGAATGCACCCTATGTCTTAGAAAGGAAATAGGGTGCTATTTGGAATGCACCCTATGTCTTAGAAAGGAAATAGGGTGCTATTTGGAATGCACCCTATGTCTTAGAAAGGAAATAGGGTGCTATTTGGAATGCATCCTATGTCTTAGAAAGGAAATAGGGTGCTATTTGGAATGCATCCTATGTCTTAGAAAGGAAATAGGGTGCTATTTGGAATGCATCCTATGTCTTAGAAAGGAAATAGGGTGCTATTTGGAATGCATCCTATGTCTTAGAAGTTAACATCTTCCCAGGGTGCTCTCATGCACATAGAACAAACATTTCGGAAGTTGGGAACCCAGACCCAAATCTCCCATTCATGCTGGCCAGCTCCGTCACGAGACACTACATAAAACACTGTTTGGGGAATCAGCAGAAGTGACTGTATATTAACCACTGAGCCTTTGCAGTTCATACAGTATGTCTACTTGTTCTGGATGATAAAGTCCTGAACCAGATAGACCAGACAGGCTACAGTTGACAACTAGCCAGCGGGCTTTATTTGGCACATTAACAGAAATGTTGATTCATGTCTATTGTCCCTGTCAAATTCACCTCAAATATGAAGGAGTGCCTTGGTCCTCCTTGTTTGTTTTCTTGAAAACCTAATAAAGTGAAGTAAAGCAAACCTGACGTGTCAACTTGTCCAACAGCACGCCATGCTCGCTGCCGCATCACTGTCAACATGGAACTGTGAACTACGCTGTATGTCATCACCTTACTGTGAACTGCCCCATTCGTCAACACACTGACAAAGCAGATTCAACGCTCATACTTATTTTTAGGACAAAGGTGATGACGCATCTGTTACACCTTCACGTTTAACTTACTCCTGTAGTCTGGTCTGAGCATAATAATAATAATATAATAATAATATGCCATTTAGCAGACGCTTTTATCCAAAGCGACTTACAGTCATGCGTGCATACATTTTTTTGTGTATGGGTGGTCCCGGGGATCGAACCCACTACCTTGGCGTTACAAGCGCCGTGCTCTACCAGCTGAGCTACAGAGGACCAGCATAGACATCTGTATAATATATCGTCAAGGTGTGTGTGTCGATCTCGCTCTTTGTGTGCGTGTGTCTCTCTCTGTGTGTGTGTGTAACATAGTAGGACAGAGTTCATGAAGTCCATAGTCATAATGTCTAAACACAGACTAGTGCACGCTACAAGCTACAGTCAGTGTTTCCCTAGGATTTTTTCCAGTAGTGGTGACAAGGGTAGCGGGGGGGGGGGGCTGCTTTGTCTGAGGTGCTGGAGAGCCAACCTGTGCCAGCCATGTTGTGGTTCTGGCAAGGGCAGGCAGCCTGACATCACAGTTCACCAGAGCCAGCATCCCTTCAGCTCTTCCAAAGACATAATGCATCCCAAATGGTACCTTTGGACAAAAGTAGTACACTATATAGGCAATAGTGGGTCATTTGGGACACACAAATAGTGTGCAATATGTGTGACAAGGCCCTGCACACCTCTGGTATGCCCCTCCTCCTCTGTTCATTCTCAGAACACAACACTTCACTGCCCACCAGTTCAAAGATGGAGGGTGAGTCAGCACTAAATAGGCTTCGCAGCAAACAAACACATTTAGGTGTTTGTGAGAGTGTTTGTAAAAAAGTCATTTTCTGGCGGATGATTATACAGAGAAATGGATTATATATATATATATATATACATATACATACACTACCGTTCAAAAGTTTGGGGTCACTTAGAAATGTCCTTGTTTTCGAATAGAAAAGCAATTTTTTTGTCCATTAAAATAAATTGATCAGAAATACAGTGTAGACATTGTTAATGTTGTAAATGGCTATTGTAGCTGGAAGCGGCTGATTTTTAATGTAATATCTACATAGGCGTACAGAGGCCCATTATCAGCAACCATCAGTCCTGTGTTCCAATGGCCCGTTGTGTTTGCTAATCCAAGTTTATCATTTTAAAAGGCTAATTGATCATTAGAAAACCCTTTTGCAATTATGTTAGCACAGCTGAGAAATGTTGTGCTGATTAAAGAAGCAATAAAACTGGCCTTCTTGAGACTAGTTGAGTATCTGGAGAATTAGCAATTGTGGGTTTGATTACAGACTCAAAATGGCCAGAAACAAATAACTTTCTTCTGAAACTCGTCAGTCTATTCTTGTTCTGAGAAATGAAGGCTATTCCATGCGAGAAATTGCCAAGAAACTGAAGATCTCGTACAACGCTGTGTACTACTCCCTTCACAGAACAGCGCAAACTGGCTCTAACCAGAATAGAAAGAGGAGTGGGAGGCCCCGGTGCACAACTGAGCAAGAGGACAAATACATTAGAGTGTCTAGTTTGAGAAACAGAAGCCTCACAGGTCCTCAACTGGCAGCTTCATTAAATACTACCCGCAAAACACCAACGTCAACAGTGAAGAGGCGACTCTGGGATGCTGACCTTCTAGGCAGAGTTGTAAAGAAAAAGCCATATCTCAGACTGCCCATCTTCATCTTTTCTTTTTATTGGCCAGTCTGCTAGCTAGAAGGTCAGCATCCCGGAGTCGCCTCTTCACTGTTGATGTTGAGACTGGTGTTTTGACCCCAAACTTTTGAACGGTAGTGTATATACACACAGTATATCCAACAAGTCTGGTGGTCAAATGTCTGCCCTGCTAGAGCTGCCCCGGTCAACTGGAAGTGCTGTTATTGTGAAGTGGAAACGTTTAGGCGCAACAACGGCTCAGCCGCGAAATGGTAGGTCACACAAGCTCACGAAACCATAAAAATCGTCAGCCCTCGGTTGCGATGTTTGACGAGCAGGTGTGCACATACTTTTGGTCATGTAGTGTATATAGTTAGATAGATATATGGATAAATGGATAGATAGACAGATGGATAGATAGACACTGATTCACCTAAGAGGAACGTGTGTGTGTGAACTGCGTGTCGATCTCAGGCCATCCTATCACTATGGTACCCAGTGTGACTGTGTGTGCACTAGTGAGAACTACTACTGCCCCCTGCTGGTAGAACCACACACAACACTCCCACAGGAAAACAACAACACATCAGCCTTATCTCAGACTCATCAGCCCCCCCCCCCCCCCCACACACACACGCTCAACAACAACAAAAACAACACATCCACCATAGGTATTAGCCCAGACCAGACAGACAGACACCCAGACAGATTAATTTCCTCTCATCTCCCCTGCAGCCAGCGGTGGAGATCCATCTCTGTGACAAGTCAACAGATCATTAATTTCAGTACTTTCACTGTTGGACTGGCAGCTTGAGGCTCATTCATTCAGTGGGGAGTGGGAACTGGTATAGTCGAGAGCTTTTATAGCCAGTCAGGTTGAATGGGTATCTATCTACCTTTAAATAAGTAGACGTGATATTGTCTCACGCTGGATAGTGTGATGGCTCCGTCTGCACTAGTTCATTTGCGACACACACAAAAAATGTCTCCACCTGTCAGAAGACAATGTAGACGTGACTGGCTCAAGTTAAGGGACTCTAAGCTGGACGCATCGTTTCCTGCTGGACTGCACAACACATGCACTCCTTTAGCCTTTCCTTAATTCAGAATTCAAGACAGATTAAAGAGCACCTATTGAAGGTTTCAGTTGGGCAGCCCTCTCACTCTTCCTCACTCTCTTTTTCTCCTCGCTATCTCTCCTCTGGCTCTTCCCCCCTCTCCCACGTTCTCTCTCTCTTTTCATCCCCTCTCCCTCCCCCTCTCCTTCTTTCTCTCCCCCTCCCAGGCTCCATCCCTCTCTCGCCACCATCAAGCTAGAGAGATAATAAATAGTAGTGTGCCAGCCAGGTGGCAGGTGTCAGGGGCTGTGCTGGGTGACAGATGGCAGACCTGCTGCTCTATGCCTTGGGCCTGGACTGGGCCCAGCAGGTGAACAGGTGGGCTGGATAACACACTTAGGGGTCAGGGCTATGTGACAGTGCTATTTTAACCTTCCTAGGTGGAAACAGGCAGGGTTGTTGACAATACAGATTACCACACGTTATCACACACACATATCAAAGTGCATTAACACATCTCGAGTGCCAGCACTATCCATAGACGGGTAACTGGTTCTGCACATTGACATGTCTGCCTATATCAAAGGATGAGCTCCTTGGGTATTGGTAAACTAAGTATGACACTGTACAACCTTATACTTACTACCCTTCAGTCATAGAATGGTATGTCCTATAATTGGATTACAGCAAGTGTGTCTGCGTGTGTATGCTGTGTGTGTATGCTGTGTGTGTGGTTCTCACCATGGCCCTTGCTTCAGCGATGAAGAAGAGCTCAGTGAGTGCTCTGTGTAGGGGCAGTAGTACAGTGATGCTGGTGGGGTCCTGACTCAGACCACTCTCCATTGTCATGAACAGCTGCCATAGAGGCCTCAGCAGGGTCAGCTCACAGCCCCTACACACACAGAGAGAGAGAAAGAGAGAGATAGAAGCGTTAGAGACTAGCACACCCGGACACACTCAAACACGCACGAGTGTGAACACACACACACAAAGACACTGTTGTTTACTTGTTAAGTGTTTTTTCAGTCAGATGTGACCCTGCAAGGTGGGTCATGTTAAGCTCCATTAGTTCTTACCATTAGACAACATTAGACATCTGTAGGATAGTGGGTTCAATTCCCGGAATTACCCGTACGTAACATGTACGCACACGTCTGTAAGTCGCTTTGGATAAAAGCGTCTACTAAATCACATATTATTATTATTATTATAACACATTGTGTATTCTATTTAGTCAGGGTGATGATGTCACTACGGCAGATGGGGCCATCGGCATGGAAAATATGCAAATCCTCCAATAGATATGTGACCTCATCTCCATGGCAACTATCAGGACATTAGGTTTCTCTGGAATACTCCAAGTAAAAACTGTTTTCGCTAGCTCTAGGGGCAAACAGACACACTAAGGACATAGACATGTTTGTAATCTTCATATTGAGCCTTCGAAATTGGGTACAAAAGGTCCCCAGAATATCATCCTAGGAAACTATAAAATGGTTTCAGTTGCTAATCAATAGGTTTTACCAAAGTTTTAAGTATAATAGTGTAGCCCAATATTTGTGACAAGTTTGCCTTACGGTTCTATTAGGCAGAGAGCGAGGTTGAGTGTGTTTGGGAGTGTGAATCCAGCTTGTTACTTTAGGTACCTGATTCTAAACTAGACCAGCTAGAGCCTGAAGCCTTGAGCAGGTGACAGAATGAGGTGTGTGTGTACTTACCTGTGTGTGTGTGTGTGTGTGTGTGTGTGTGTGTGTGTGTGTGTGTGTGCACAAGCGTGCGTTCAAGGTGGATGCGAGGGACAGGGACATTGGGAAGAGGCTCACTTCTGTGATTGACACTGCAGGAGGCGGAGCAACAGGTGGATGGCCTTCAGTCTTTGGTTCCCGGTCTGGCGGCAGGCCACGCCCACCTGCCACTCCCAGATGTCAGCCAATGGGAGGTGGCTGAGCACTTGGTCGTCAGCCAACATTTGTTTCAGGATCTCAAAACCTGTTTGAGGAAGAGACAGAGAGAGAAAGAGAGAGCGAGTCAGAAGAGGTGTGAGAAAAATACTTCACACGTTTTGAGGGTTGGTTGACTAGTACACGTCTACACGGCTGGTTGCTTTTCTATTGAGTGAATAATAGTTTCCCAAGACAGCTGCGTTCCTATGATAGAGAATTGATGTGAAGTGAATATGTTCCCTGAGATTTAGACTTCGAACATTAAAGGATAGTTTCTATTTCCCTCTATGATCAGACCCAGTAGCTCTTCTTCTTGTGTGTGTGTGTGTGTGTTCAGTCAGCTGCATTAGACTCCCATTATAAAAGCTTAACCACATGTGACAGGTCCTCAGCTGATGCCAGCCCTGGCCCACGTCGTTCATCAGTCTCACTCTCCCAATGCCGCTGCAGTGTGTGTGTGTATGTGAGTGTGCGCGTGTGTGTACATGCATGTGTGTGTACGTGAATGTGTGTGTGTAGACTGACCTGTCTGGAAGCGGCCCCTGTGTCCCCCGGTGACAGTGAATTTGTATCCCCACTCTGTGTTGCTCATGTCTGAGATGAACCTGTAGTGCAGAGTATCCCCTGTGGAGAAAACACACAGCACACTCAGACACGTGGTCAAACTATGTAGATTAAAACCACATTGTGGAAACATCTTCAATACCAACCCCGAAGCAATTCACTTACTTGGGTGGCATACTTACTCCGAGTCCCCTCTCCCAGACCCCTCTCTCCCAGCCCCCTTTCTCTCTCCATGCCCTTGTCCCTGTCCCAGCCCCCTCTCTCCCAGCCCCCTCTCTCCATACCCCTGCCCCCTCTCTCCCTGCCCCTGTCCCTCTCCCAGACCGTTCCTCTCCCAGCCGCCTCTCTCCATGCCCCTGTCCCCTCTCTCCCAGACCGTCCCTCTCCCAGCCCCCTCTCTCCATGCCCCTGTCCCCGCTCTTCCTGCCCCTGTCCCTCTCCCAGCACCCTCTCTCCCTGCCCCCTCACCAGGGATCTCGAAGTCAGTCCATTTCTGTGGGGAGCCGCTGAAGTTGTGCAGGTCCTGGAGGAAGTCAGAGCTGCTGCCCATGATCAGCTCATCACAGCCCTCCTCAGTGTAACAGCGGGAGTCAAACTTCACGGATAGGTAGATGGCCCCCGGGATGTGCACCTTGTCCTAGAGAGAGAGAGAGAGAGAGAGAGAGAGAGACAGAGAGAGACAGAGAGAGAGAGAGAGAGAGAGAGAGACAGAGAGAGAGAGAGAGAGACAGAGAGAGAGAGAGAGAGAGACAGAGAGAGAGAGAGAGAGAGAGAGGAAGCTTTACAACATCATTGTTCGGCTGTAGAACAGTCAGTCCAATGCAAGCTTCCTCCAGTAGGTCACACAGGAAGGCCACAGTACATATCTGGCGTGGTATTATCTTAATATCAAAAGAATGAAAAACACTGCCACATGCTTATATTTGAAGTTATGTATCATTTTCTTGCAAATGATCATTAATACTGATAGATATCCTTTTAGTTGCCTATATTGGGAACCTTGTAGACTTCCTAGTGTGCCTGTAGACCGTTAGATGTGGTAAGACCTCTCAGTGGGGAATTAGATATATGTGGTACCCACCTCAAAGTTGGTGTTGTTGTCGTAGGGGTGTTTGGACTCCCTGACTTGCACGGCCATGCCAGGCTCCTCCATGAACTGACACGCTGTCAGAGACAAACTACCCAGCATGCTCTGGCTGCAGCCAACCAGCACTTTCTGTAGAATCTGGTGACCAGAGGAATGAGTTAACCCACATCAACATGTAGACACCCCACACACTTCCATACCACTCACTCACACACACAAATGTGTGCACCCCCTCTCACCCGTTTCCAGAGTGGAAGCTCAATAACTCCCTGTGTGAAACATCACACACACACCACTACCACACACTTACCCTCTCCCAGAGTGGTCTCTCCTCCAGCTGCATCAGCATGTCCAGGATGTAGGCCATGTGTGATGCTCCGCTCAGCTCCAGAGCCTCCTCACTCAGTGGCGCCCCCTGGGGCCAGTCAGCCAGCAGCGACGCCAGCACGTGACGGGCATACAGGGTGGCGATGGCTTGGTTCACCTGAACATAATGATGTCATCATATCATTTAGCAGACCATTTTATCCAAAGCCACTTACAGTACAGTGACTGCGTACATCTTTGAGTAGGTACAGATTAAAACAAGTCCTGGCCTAAAAAAGCATGTTCAATGGCTTAATATGTGTCCGGGAAACAAGCCTGTTTAGTATACGTGATCCTTGCGGGAATCGAACCCATAACACTGGCATTGCTAGCTAGTGCCATGCTCTTCTAGTACCAACTGAGCGACAGACAGAACATCCACCTCCACCTACCTTGACTAGGTACTGTCTGACAGAGCGGTTGCTGCGTGCGTCCAGCTCCTTGTGCAGCAGGGCGGAGGACTTGGTGCGGCGCTGCTTGGCGTAACTCAGCTGGAGGTCAGTCTCTGTGTTGGTGATCAGCTTCTGAGTCACCACCGTGGTCTCCTCTGTTGCCTTCTCACAGTGACTGGGCTTGGACTGGGGGAGGAAGGGTGGGAGTGGGTTGTTCATCAGCTGACACCAATTCTTCAAACTATGTCAAAATGTAAATGCAATGCAGTGCTCACCACACAGGGCACAACGATCATGTCAGTGTCCACAGCCTTGGTGCTCCTCTCCTCAGAGCGAGGTCTCTTGGTGGGCTGCCACTTCTGAGCCAGCGTCCTAATCGCCTCGTCCGTCTTTATCACGTCTCCGTCAAACCTGCGGGTCGTCAACCAAGTCAGGCATGAATACCACCATGCAAAGTCATAGCAGAACATTGTCTGTGATGGATGAAAGCTACACAAGTCAGGTATGAAAATGACACGGTGCAATGGTATTCGAAACACATTATGAAGGATGTACTATTTTATGTGAAGTGTGTTGTGACTGTTAAATGCACTTTCAATAAATTGTGATTTGATTTGTATGAAGGAATGTATGACAGGAGTGTGATCTAATTCTTACCTCTTCTGCACCTCCAGAAAGAAGGAGTCCGTTCTCTTCATCTGCAGCTCGTACATGGCCCGCAGGATGTGCAGGGGCGCGTTTAAGGCATCATGGGTAATCTGAAACAGACACAATTCAAAGAGATTGTTACAATTCAGAGAGAGAGAGAGAGAGAGAGAGAGATCGTTACATTCTCGTCCAAGTCGTTTAGAGCTATTGGAGCAGTGGTTAACAAATTTGCCTACGGGCTGGAAACCCGGGATCGACCCCGGAGATCCAAGGGGTTGTCGCCCTTCGATACATTAGTTTCAGAAGTGGGATTTAAAAAAAACTGTATAATGAGGATGTGGGCATCCCTGCTGACCTGGAAGCAAATCTTGGTCTCTTCGTCGAGCCCCTCCAGTGGGTCAGGCCGGTTGGGGTCGGGGTCGTCGGCACAACAACTAGAGTGGTCCGAGTCATGCTCCTTGTCTTGTTCCTTCTCCTCCTTCTCCCCGTCCTGGCCCTGGGCCATGCTGTGGATCTCCCTCTTGGAGGAGTAGAGCATTATGGAGAGGATCTCCAGGTCTCGGAGCAGCCACAGCTTACTGAAGCCTGTCCCCTTACTGCACTTCCTCACCAGGAGCTGGGTCAGACCGGACTGTTGGATGGCCTCCTGGGCCTCAGTAACACCGTGCTTCTACAGGGAAGGAACACGACAGGAAATGTTAGACAAAGTCTTCAACTCACAGTCCAACCACAGTCCTACCATAGTGCATGATATGAAGTACATATAAAACGGGAATAAATGAAAAAGATATTCAGCCACTAGAAGACGGAAATGGACATTCAATAAAAAGTCTACCAGGAAAAATCTACAGGAAAAACACATAAATAATAACATAATGTCATATTGAAAAGAGAGAGAAAAGGACATTCTGTAGTAGTTGAGTGATGATAACCAAAAGGTGGCTTCGTTTCCGAGGTACCTTGAGTGTGTTGTAGAGGCCCTTGAGGGCCAGTGAGACGACCCAGGAGGCCTCCACAGCGTCGGGGGTGCTGCTGTCCTGACTGCTCTGCAACAGGTGGCTGATGATGGAGGTGAAGTTACTGAGGTAGTGGGTTAGCTGGGCCTGGGGGGGTCCCTGACCCTGACCTACACCCTGGACCTGGGACCCTGGGCTGTGGGAGCCTGTAGCACTGGAGTCCTGCAGCTGGATCAGCTGGTAGTCCTTCACTGTAAGGACAGGAGAGGGGCAGCATACAGATTCAGAACATCTTTATTGCCCCATTGCTGGGCAATTTTGTTGCAGTAGTATAAAAACATCAAACATACACGCAAATGTGTGAGGGTTTAACACAGCTCTACTATGAGCACCATGAGCAAAATGTATGAAAATAACTTTGCGACAGTCCGTCCTCTAACCCGTCTTTCTCTTGCGGGTCTTGACATCCACCACAGCCGCATGGTTCTTCTCAGTGAAGTGCTTGAGTAGGATCATATGATGCTGCTCGTTGGCATTGTCTATGAACACTGACTGGGTGCCCATACACAGCACCTAGGATAGCAGAAAGAGACAAGGGGTCAGACAGAGGGCAGGACAGAAGGTCTACAAGCCAGTTGAATGGTGGACTACTGGAGGAGACAGCAGCAGGACGAGGACTCCAGCACCATCATCAAGTTTGCTGATGACACAACCGTGGTAGGCCTGATCACTGACTTCGATGAGACAGCCTATAGGGAGGAGGTCAGAGACCTAGCAGTGTGGTGCCAGGACAACAACCTCTCCCTCAATGTCAGCAAGACAATCGCGCTGATTGTGGACTACAGGAAACGGAGGTCCGAGCACGCCCCCATTCATATCGACGGGGCTGTCGTGGAGCAGGTCGAGAGCTTCAAGTTCCTCGGCATCCACATCACTAAGGATCTATAGTATCATGGTCCAAACACACCAACACAGTCGTGAGGATGCCTCTTCTCCCTCAGGAGGATGAAAATATTTGGCATGGGCCCTCAGATCCATAAAAAGTTATACAGTTGCACCATTGAGAGCATCTTGACTGGCTGCATAACCGATTGGTATGACAACTGCTTGGCATCCGACCACAAGGCATTACAGAGGGTATTGCGTACGGCCCAGTACATCACTGGGGCCGAGCTCCCTGCCATCCAGGACCTCAAGAAGAACGCCCTAAAAACTAGCAAAGACTCCATTCACCCAAGTCATAGACTGTTCTCTCTGCCACCGCACGGCAAGCAGTACCGATGCACTAAGTCTGGAACCAACAGGACCCTGAACAGCTTCTACCCCCAAGCCATACGTCTGCTAAATAGTTTACAGATACTATCTGCATTTACTCTTTTTGCACTAACTTTTTTGACTCATCACATACAGTGCATTTGGAAAGTATTCAGACCCCTTGATTTTGTTACGTTACAGCCTTATTCTAAAATTGATTAAATTGTTTTTTTTTCTTCCCATCAATCTACAGACAATACCCCAAAATAACAAAGCAAAAACAGTTTTTTTATACATTGTATATGCAAATGTATAAAAAACAACAACTGAAATATCACATTTACATAAGTATTCAGACCCTTTAATCAGTACTTTGTTGAAGCACCTTTGACAGCGATTACAGCCTTGAGTCTTCTTGGGTATGACAATACAAGCTTGGCACACCTGTATTTGGGGAGTTTCTCCCATTCTTCTCTGCAGATCGGGTTCAAGTCCGGGCTCTGGCTGGGCCACTCAAGGACATTCAGAGACTTGTCCCGAAGCCACTCCTGCATTGTCTTGGCTGTGTGCTTAGGGTCGTTGTCCTGTTGAAAGGTGAACCTTCGCCCCAGTCTGAGGTCCGGAGCACTCTGGAGCAGGTTTTCATCAAGGATCTCTGTGTACTTTGCTCCGTTCATCTTTCCCTCGATCCTGACTAGTCTCCCAGTCCCTGCCGCTGAAGAACATCCCCACAGCATGATGCTGCCACCACCATGCTTCACCGTAGGGATGGTGCCAGGTTTCCTCCAGACGTGACACTTGGCATTCAGGCCAAAGAGTTCAATCTTGGTTTCATCAAACCAGATAATCTTGTTTCTCATGGTCAGAGTCCTTTAGGTGCCTTTTGGCAAACCCCAGCAGGCTGTCATGTGCCTTTTACTGAGGAGTGGCTTCCGTCTGGCCACTCTACCATAAAGGCCTGATTGGTGGAGTGCTGCTGAGATGGTTGTCCTTCTGGAAGGTACTCCCGTCTCCCCAGAGGAACTCTGGAGCTCTGTAAGCGTGACTATTGGGTTCTTGGTCACCTCCCTGACCAAGGCCCTACTCCCCCGATTGCTTAGTCTTGGTGGTTCCAAACTTCTTCCATTTAAAAATGATTGAGGCCACTGTGTTCTTGGGGACCTTCAATACTGCAGAAAAGTTTTGGTACCCTTCCCCAGATCTGTGCCTCGACACAATCCTGTCTCGGAGCTCTATGGACAATTCCTCCGACCTCATGGCTTGGGTTTTGCTCTGACATGCACTGTCAACTGTGGGACCTTACATATACAGGCATGTGCCTTTCCAAATCATGTCCAATAAATGTAATTTACCACAGGTGGACTCCAATCAAGTTGTAGAAACATCTCAAGGATGACCAATGGAAACAGGATGCACCTGAGCTCAATTTCGAGTATTATAATAAGTTATTTCAGTTTTGTATTTTTAAGAAATTTTCAAACATTTCTAAAAACCTGTTTTCACTGTCATTATGGGGTATTGTGTGTAGATTGATGAGGGAAAAAAATAATTTAATCAATTTTAGAATAAGTCTAACGTAACTAAATGTGGAAATACTTTCCGAATACACTGTATGCTGCTGCTACTGTTTATTATCGATCCTATTGCCTAGTCACTCTATTCCTAGTTTTATGTAGATATCTACCTCAATTACCTTGTACCCCTGCACATCGACTCGGTACTAGTACCCCGTGTATATAGCCAAGTTATTGTTACTCATTGTGTATCTATGTTTTACTTTTCTATAATTTCTCTATTTTCTTTCTCTCTGCATTGTTGGGAATGGCCAGTAAGTAAGCATTTCACTGTTAGTCTACACCTGTTGTTTACGAAGCATGCAAGGAATAAAATTAGATTTTAGATTTTGAGTTCCAGTCGATATTAGTCAATAGAAAATAGGTATATAGCAGTGGATGCTCCCAAGTGGCGCAGCGGTCTAAGGCACTGCATCGCAGTGCTAGCTGTGCCACTAGAGATCCTGGTTTGAATCCAGGCTCTGTCGTAGCCGGCCGCGACCGGGAGACCCATGGGGCGGCGCACAATTGGCTCAGCGTCGTCCAGGGTAGGGGAGGGAATGGCCGGCAGGGATGTAGCTCAGTTGGTAGAGCATGGCGTTAGCAATGCCAGGGTTGTGGGTTCGTTTCCCACGGGGGGCCAGTATAAAAAATAAAATAATGTATGCACTCACTAACTGTAAGTCGCTCTGGATAAGAGCGTCTGCTAACTGACTAAAATGTAAAACATGTAAATGTAAATGTAGAGGAGGAAGGGGAGGACCAGCCTCTTCAGTGAATTTAATAAAAATAGTGAAACATTAAAAAAGTTATCATTTTTAGATAAAACTATACTAAATATATTCAAGCCACCAAATAATTGATTGAAAGACACTGTTTTGCAATGAAGGTCTACAGTAGCTTCAACAGCACTCTGTAAGGTAGCACCATGGTGTAGCCAGAGGACAGCTAGCTTCCGTCCTCCTCTTGGTACACTGACTTAAATACAAAACCTAGGAGGCTCGTGATTCTCACCCCCTTCTATAGACTTACACAGTAATTATGACAACTTCCGGAGGACGTTCTCCAACCTATCAGAGCTCTTGCAGCATGAACTGACATGTTGCCCACCCAATTAAAGGATCAGAGAATGAATCTAGTACTGAAAGCATGAGCTACAGTCTACAGCTAGCACTGCAGTGCATAAAATGTGGTGAGTAATTGACTCAGAGAGAGAAAGATAATAGTTGAACAGTTTTGAACAAATTAAATTCTTCAAAAATGAAGGAGACGCAAGAGAGAGAGCTAGATGTATTTTGTTGTAAAATTTTTTCAAATGCAGCGAGCTAGTTTAGCCTACTCAAACACCCGACTCAAACAGAGAGGAATGTTATGTTAGTTAGCAGGCTATGGCTATCCAACACTGGAACTCTTCCAAGTCAAGGTAAGCTTTTGGTTTTATTAATATATTGCCACCGGTGCCCCCTGGTGTAACTTTTAAACTGCTTGCTGCTGACTGTACATTGTACTGCATGATTGTAGCGGGTTTGCTAACGCGTTAGTTGACTATGTTGACTATGACTGTAATAGGGTGACAACGATGTAGGCTGTGTGTAGCGGTTAGCGGTTATGATATAAAGGTTTGGCTTGGAAAGGTATTTTCGCCTGGTCACAGACAGCTGATGTGTTGTGCACTGAAGTCCACAAGTGAAGGGAAAAGGTGAGGGGAGGAGAGCGCGTAGGTGTGAGAAGGAATTATACAACGATCAAAGGGATCATGCTGTTTGTATGTGGCTGCTATAAAAGTGAACTGTGTTTGTGTCTGATCAGGGGTGTATTCATTCCGCCGATTCTGTTGAAAAACGTTTCTTAAACGGAAGCAAACGGAACGAAACGGGGATAAACATACCTGAATTTGTCCAATAGAAACTTGTTTGCAACTATTGGACTAATGATTACACCCTAGATCAGCTAGATGCAGGCAAGAGTGTTCAAGGCGGTATTGAATGTGTCAATGTCTGTCACCTTGATTACTAAAATTTCACTCGACCTGTGCACCTACGTTGTAAACTTTCATTCTTAGGCTAGGTTGTAGCAACCTCATGATCGGTATGGGGGAAAATTATAGTATCATGTAGTATCCTTAACCTATCGATGTTACATTGAGCTGGGTAAACGGAATATGAATAACAGTCATCCAATATGCTGTAATAGAAATAAGGCCATGCTCCAAAACATTGTCCTCCCTCATCTTGTTTTATTTGAGGGGATTTTCTGCGTATCTGTTTAGCATTTAGAAATGTATAGTGTATTAAATGAAGTAGTATTTGGTCCCATATTCCTTTCACGCAATGACTACATCAAGCTTGTGACTACAAACTTGTTAGATGCATTTGCAGTTTGTTTTGTGCTATGTTTTCCCAAAGGTGTTACGAAACCGATTAACTAGCCTGCTAATATTTTTGCACTTGCTAAGTCTAGTTAACTGGTCTGTAACCTGAATAAATGTGTGAATTCATTTGAGAAATCAGCGTTTGAGGACCGTGTTGGATGCACATGTGCCCAGGGAGACAGCAACCAGGCTCAGCACCTAGACAAGGTTGCTGCTGCCCCCTGTGGGAATGGAATGTGGACGCAATAGTCAGCTGTAGTGTGCGGTCTAAACTACCTAACCTATTCCATAACAATAGTAACTGAATTAGTCAGTACCTCAGGGAAGCCGACCAGCACCAGCAGGGTGAAGAGGTTGGTGCGTTTGAGCACGTGTGGTAGTTGCCGGACACAGTGGTCGGTGAAGGTTGCTATGACAACACTCCACTGGGGACAGGCGTTCAGGCTCCGCAGGATATCAGCCACCGAACACGCCCAGTCCAGACCTATACGACTATATTTCAAAAGACAGAGAGAAAATATATCCAGTGGCTTCATCATAACAACAACTGTCAAGCAACCTCTTTAGATTTAGATGTGTCCTATATGACAACAAAGAAGAGAGAAGGAGAAGAGATGTCTTACAACAATGGTGTTAGAATAATAGTCAAGCAACACAGTCAAATCTAAGGTGAGTTCAACATGGGTTTTGTTTGCGGCAAACTTAGGAACAATCTCAGTTGAACGATTTGAATGAACAATCCAAAATGTTACTGTGAAGCCGCAAAATAGCTCCTTTTTGTAAGGATTACTGTGCCTTTTTAGTGGCAATATTCTAACTGAAAAGGACTTTGCCATTCCTACTACATGTAATAGACAGCCTACATGGACACCTGATTATTTGTAGCGTTGGTTTCGACCTGAAATAAACATTTACATTCGCCACACACTACCTTCTATACTGTTAGCTAACGTTAGCGAATGTTCGTGGGTAGCACAAAACAAACAGAATATGTTAGCCAACATTAGCTAACGTTCGCAAACTATTTCTCTAGTTGAACACACCTCTAGATCTACTGTATGTCCTGTTCCACTCTCCAGTTTACTGTGGTTTACAACTCGTATTTAACACAAACAGTGAATATGCATGACTATGGTGCCGTGGTTTACCTGTCCAGACAGACAGCCCCCAGACTGAAAAGTAGCTGGGTGGTCTTCCAGCCCTGTGTGTCAGCCCCGGCGGCAGCCCCCTCTCCTGGGGTGAGCAGCTCGTACTTATCGGCTAGGGCCTCTCTGACGGCCGCATCCGCCTCCAGGGGGGGTATCCTCAGCAGCAGCTGCCCCAGCAGACCCAGGGTCAGGTGGTAGGTCTCGTTCAGACACCCGGCGTTGGAGATGACCACCCTGAAGAGCTGGGGCAGGATGGGGCTCAGGCTGGACAGAGCCAGGGTGGTGCCCTGGGGGGGGGGGAGGGGGGGGGGGGGGGGATGCAAGAGGTCAGAGGTCAATGGATAGATAGTTACAGCGGTAACTACACAGTATTAACTGAAGTAACAATATTGCATTACCATGTAGTTGCATAGTAACCGTTGTTAGTTATTACTGTGTAGTTACATAGGGCAACTTAAGTGTTACCGATTAAACTTAAAGAATGGTGTATTGACTCTGAGCCCCCTTGGCTATTCGGAACAATACAACAGAAGGCACTTCATAGACTCAGTATGGACTTCCTAGCTTCTTCTGCTATCTGGTAGTACAATCATCTTACCGGTTTGGCTGGAGGCAGCATGGCAGCTAGCAGCCCCAGGATCCTCTCTCTCGAGCACTCTGCAAACACATGCTCCTGGATGGGCACCTTGGCCATCCTCGCCATCTTCTCATCCCTCTCCTTCATCATCTCTTTCATCTCCTCTATGTCCTCTGGCGTTGGAGAGGTGATGGTCTCTGAGCCCGACTCTGGAGCTGGGGGATACACGGAAACAGGCAAAGGTTAACTTAGCTTCATCTCCAGACTAGACTAGGCGCAACACTCATTGACAAAGATGGATGGATGATGTGATACCAACTGACGCACTCATTCAAACAGGTCGGTGGCCAGGATGACTTAACCAACATTCACTTCAGCTATAAGATAGGCGCAACAGTCTTTTACCATTTCACCAATTGGTGATTAAAGCTAACAATGGTCTGACACACATTCAATTGAATTGAATTCAAAGTGACTTTATTAATTCCAGACGGGGAGCGATTAGAAAAGCACATGGCTGGTCCCTCCCGCCTCACCTCTGACCACAGGAGACAGTGTTCCCTCGCTGGACAGAGAGGGGGTCTGGCTGAGGCTGGACCAGTCCAGGGTGTCCTGTTTCACCAGCTTCTTCCCCTTCTCCTGTCCTCCTTCTCTCTCTGACGTGGAGCACACCTCCAGGGCAGCAGGGGGAGACTCCACATCCTTCTCCTTCCCCTGGGCTTTACTCTGATGGACAAACAGAAGAAGGATCATCAGTGTGTGGTGGTTATCCATGAATGCCATTGTATTGGAGCAGTAGAAGTGAATAGCTGCAGGGGGAAATTGGTTCTGAAGCAGAATCATATCGATAAAAACAGACATTTTACAAAGAGTAGGGACACAATATTGAAGTCAAGGCCTGGCTCGAGGCCAGGGTGTAGTAACTCACCTTGTCCCTAGAGGGCAGTGGTGAGCAGATAGCAGCGGTGGAGCCAGGCAGAGAGGAGGTGTCTTCTGTGGTGGTGTTGATGCTGAGCTCCTGGGAGGGTGACTCAGGACACAGCTCACTCTCTGACTCATTAGAGGCCAGCAGGGACAGCAGGGCAGAGGACCGCAGACCTGCACACACACAGGGATGGAATGATTCAACAGAAACCCTAACAAGTTGGGGGGGGGTCAGGAACAATGGCTATATCAATGGAGTTTCAAGAAGTTCAGTCAGTAGTCTGATGGGACAGTAAAACTGAGCGACAAGAAATGTCCTCAATTTATAACACTGCTCTATTCCCATCTATTTGGAATGGATAAGTTGGTTTGGCTTGAGTTGAATGCTATCTAAATCAATAAAACCACCTTTACGATAGGGCTGGGAATTGCCAGGGACCTCACGATACGATGTTATCATGATACTTAGGTGCTGATACCATATGTATTGCGATTCTCACGATTCTACATGTATTGCGATTAGATATTGCGATTTGATGTTCCAAATATATTTCTCACTATACGTCTGCTGCAGAGAGACAAGAGAGAGCATGAGAAATGCATTTTGATCAGTCATGGAAATAAACATGCTGATAAGAACAAGGTATACAGTTGCTGTGAGGCCTACCTTTGCCAGTCTGTCCTTTGAGCAGGCACTCGGTAATGAGCTGTGAGCAGCGTGTCTGCAGGGCGGAGGCCTGGGTCAGGGTGTCTGGTCCCAGAGGCTCCCCCTCCTGCTGTCTCTCGCTGCTCAGGTCTGAGGTGTAAAGAAAAGAAACAAATACTTTTTAATGACAATTAAACTCCATCAAGTTGCTGGTCCCATTTTTCCATTGTTATGTGACTGACTATTGACTTGAAGCTCCCTTTCATTTTTTTATGCCAGAGGATAAGAGTTGAGCATGTTTACCTGAGGTGTACAGGGCCAAGGCAGCGAACAGCAGCCAGGAGTAGTTGTGGATGTAGGGCTGGATGAGGCGGTGGCGGTCACTGATCCTGATGGTCACCATGGGGCAGACAGTGATCCGATGGGTCGGGAGGTGACTGGAGGACGTCGTGAAGGGAAAAACAAGAGACAGGGTGAGAGATGGTAAGCCGCTGCAGTACCTGTGCATTACCACCACACAGTCAATTCTACTGAGAAAGATATCAGCTTTAGCAGGTTTTAGACATTCGATAGAAACACATAACATATATCAAGACATTATAAAGCCTCATTCATGCTTTTAGCATTATATCTAAAGTGTTTCCAAAACAAAAATGGATTAATATATTACCTGTCAGGGTATTTCTTGGCATTGTAGCAGCCGAAGCAGAGGTCAAAGTCTTCACAGACATTACAGTTGATCCTGCTGCCCACGATGAGGCCCTGGCAGTGGTCACACGCATACTCCATGTTCACCATCTCATGGTCGTCCTCGTGACCCTCCGGCTTGGCACCACCTAGACACACAGAGCCGGTTCAGTTAGTCTAGAGGAAAGATGTAACTGTTTTACGTTCTCGCGTTGAAGCTTAAACAAGACATTTCGGGGTATAAGTCCAGCTCTACACAGGAAACAGTGTGTGTGTGTGGGAGTATGTGTGTACTCACTGAGGAAGCAGGTCTTGCACAGGTCCATGTCCATACACTGCAGACAGCGGTACCGGTGCCAGGGAGCCATCCTCTCACAGCCATCACAGGAGATCACCACATTGAGCAGGTCACAGTAACGAGCTATGAACATGTGCATCTGAGGACAGGACAGGAAGGGGTTAACTACCTCAGCTTTTGGACAGTATCATGGACATGGTTGGGGTCAATTCCATTTCAATAAAAAATGTCCTCACTGCTTTTCAATGACAAAACAACACAAACACCTAAGATAATGTCAAAGATGGTCTAAGCTACAACATATGTGAAAATGAAAAAAAATCGAAGTTTACACGTTTTTCGATAATTGACGTTAGAAAAGTACAATAATTACAATTTCTATTAACAAATAATAATAAAATAGTTTGACAACCCTGTTTGTAGGCTTTTAAATTATATCAAACTCACCCGTTGATATTTTCCAGTAATGAAGACATGGATGTCTCATGGTAGGGTGGGGTATGCAAAATAGGTCAACTTTGAACACCTCTATCCCCTAAATGTTTTGGCATTCAGTTCCAGAAAATCCCTTTCTGACCACATCTACCATTGCCAAAATTTATAAAAAGTTTTGTTCAAATCAAAAGGGGAGCGGTCAAAAAGTGATTGAAATCAAATGGAACGACCCCCCTATCCAATCCTCTCAGATCTACACAAGTGCCTAGGGGGTAGGGGCTAGGAATTGAGTATTTGGGATTTAGGGCCTGAGTCCGCTCTACCTTTCTCCTGTCCTCCATGGAACCCTCCTCGTCAATCTTGTCATACCACTTCTCAAACATCCCGTCCACACACTCGTCCATCCAGTCCCGGTTCTTCTTATAGTCTGCTATCTCATCCTCCTCCGTCCACTGACTGGGGACAACATCACAGGGTGGAAAATTAGATGGCCATTTTCTCACATTTAGGTAACATCCTACCTTCAGGTGATATCCTACCTTTTTTGTCTGGCTAATATCTAGCGTAGCATGGTCTTCAAATTAACACTGATAGTAGATATTTTCACAGGCCACAACACTCGCTCTTGTGGTGCATGAAGGCGGCTGTTGTGTCTAATGCTAAATATTAATGTTATGTGGCATATATTATTATGAAGATACAGTACGTGAACCGTTAGTGAAAAGCTACTATACAGCGCCACCACCACTCCACGCCACTAGTTGGCACCCTTCCTCTGTCCTCTGTCCCTCCTCAGACAGTACCTGATGGCGATGTCGTGCACGCTGATGTTCTCCTGGGACATGGTGAGGAGGAGGTCAGGTAGTTTGATCTGGAGGAACAGGGGGAGGTCCTGTACCTCCCAGCTCATGTCCAATAGATGCAGCAGGCAGGTCTGAACACAGGACAGGGCAGGCAGCAGGACCCTGGGGAGGGGAAGATACCAAATGAGTTATCAAATCAGGAGGAGAGAGCAGAATGGGTTTCACTTACTTTCTCTATGCTCCCAAATACACAATTCTTTATCATCCTTATAAATGTCTTATTACAAGGCTTATAACATGTTATGTCTCTCTATGTAGCACATGTTCAACTGAACAGGGATGAATTAATACATACTTCTCGTTGAGACTGCTGAAGCCTTGTACTGCCTCCACCAGCATGAGGACTAGTCGATGGTAGGACCTCCTCACCTTCTCTCTCAGCTCCTGCCCACTTCCAGACAACTGGGAGAAATAACTGCCCAGGGAAAACAAACAAACAAACCCTGAATGAGTGTCTTAACAGGAAAATTAGGAGGAAATAGATTATTATATCAATACATCTCAATCAGACCCTTATGTATGCAATCCTGAAGCCGTTATGGCAGCTACATTACACATATCAGTATTTATAGGGTCAGACGGACCTGGTGAAGTCTTTCTGGCAAGCCAGCAGTTCCTGTAGGAACAGAATGCAGGGGGCCTGGAAGAGGTGTGGTTTCCCCAGGGACAGTAAACACTGCTGCACCGTCTCCAGGACCTTACAAACACTCTGAGCCTGGGCCTTGTTCAAGGACAGCGTCTGCCGGACACTGCACAGGTAGATAAATACACATCCAAAAACAAAGGCTTAGCAAAACATAAATCACAACATTGGATCTAGAGAGCAAGTTTGTTCAATCTAACAGTTTAAGAACGACAATATAATAACACATTTGTAAAAATCACTGCTTCCTAATCAACAAAGCCAAACAATGAACCCTTCCCGTGCCCAGTGTGTGGATGACAGTGACACATACCTGACAGTAGTCAGTGTCTGGTCCTTCATGAAGTTGATGATGTGTTTGAGGAGAGGGTAGCGTTCCTTGACAGAGGGGGCAGAGCGAGGCTCTTCCACGGAGCGCAAGGAGAGGAGGCGGAGGCGGCCCCGGCTGAAGGAGGGAGCCTTCCGGGGGAAGGTGGAGGGGGATGCAGGCTCCGCTGCCCCTGGCTGGTAGGACAGGCTCTCTGTGGAGCCCAGTAGGCCCTGGCTGGAGGGGCCCGGCCCTGGGTCAGAAACTGTCGAACCCTGGGGATGGACCCGGAAGGAATGAGGGTAGCCTGGTCCAGGTACTGGGCCTACAGCTCCAGATCCAGCCCTTGCCTCACAGCCCCCCACCTCGGAGCCTGCTGCATGGGAGGACTGGGCTCCCAACGAGGGGCTGGGCAGGAAGTCCCCCTCTGATATGGAGCTGGAGCGGAAGAGTGGAGGCTGTAAGACAGCACTGCCCTCTGCTGCCCTGGAGGAGTCAGTGTCCAAGTGAGAAGAAGCGCCACTGGGGGGGAATCTCAACAACAGATAGGCCTTCCCAAGAAGCATCTCAGCTAGAGGAGAAGGAAGGGGCAGGAGGGAGAGATTCAAACATAAAATATACATAGAGAAGCATTTGTCCATAAATATGCATGATTCTAGTTAAGAGATTCGTATCAGTACGTTTCAAATACAAATCAAAAGAGTGGTAGTGCTCACCGAGACCATCCATGGTTACTTCACCGTGGCCCTCCTCTTTGTCCTCAGAGACATTCATTTTGCCCACCAGATACCGCTGCTTCATCTCCAACTGAAAACAACAGAAGAAAACACAACACTCACACCACTGATAGGTCAAATCAAATCAAATTTTATTGGCCACATGCGCCGAATACAACAGGTGCAGACATTACAGTGAAATGCTTACTTACAGCCCTTAACCAACAGTGCATTTATTTTTAATAAAAAAGTAGAATAAAACAAAAAAGTGTTCAGAAAATAAAGAGCAGAAGTAAAATAAAATAACAGTAGGGAGGCTATATATACAGGGGGGTACCGGTGCAGAGTCAATGTGCGGGGGCACCGGCTAGTTGAGGTAGTTGGAGTAATATGTACATGTGGGTAGAGTTAAAGTGACTATGCATAAAGAATTAACAGAGTAGCAGCAGCGTAAAAAGATGGGGGTGGGGGGGGGGGGGCAGTGCAAATAGTCCGGGTAGCCATGATTAGCTGTTCAGGAGTCTTATGGTTTGGGGGTAGAAGCTGTTGAGAAGTCTTTTGGACCTAGACTTGGCACTCCGGTACCGCTTGCCGTGCGGTAGCAGAGAGAACAGTCTATGACTAGGGTGGCTGGAGTCTTTGACAATTTTGAGGGCCTTCCTCTGACACCGCCTGGTATAGAGGTCCTGGATGGCAGGAAGCTTGGCCCCAGTGATGTACTGGGCTGTACGCACTATCCTCTGTAGTGCCTTGCGGTCGGAGGCCAAGCAGTTGTCATACCAGGCGGTGATGCAACCAGTCAGGATGCTCTCGATGGCGCAGCTGTATAATTTTCTGAGGATCTGAGGACCCATGCCAAATCTTTTCAGTCTCCTGAGGGGGAATAGGCTTTGTCGTGCCCTCTTCACGACTGTCTTGGTGTGTTTGGTGCCTTTGATTGTGTGTTATTTGTGATTCTTTCTTTTGTCTTCTGTGTGGTATTAAATTGTATAGAAAATGAGTTTAATGACTCATTCAAAAGACACTCACCATCCATGTTTTGATGCTCTCAGCCAGTGAGAAGACCTGCAGAAAGTCTTCACTCAGACTCCCCTGACCACCCTGGCTGGCTACTCGTACAGAAAAAGGGGGAGAGGGAGAAATGGGAAGGAACATAAGTCAATTCACCATCCAAATTCAACAACTGTGAATCTAGTTAAAACAGTGGATATCAACAGTGCTCAGCACATAACAACCATGAGTGGGCTTAGCGTCCTGTTCTCACTGGCCACCAGTAAGCCTTTTCCCGTTTTCTAAACATCCATATAAGATCATAATACGGATGTGGTCCAGGAGGGGCCAGTTTTGTCCACAGGCGGTCCCAGAAGGCAGGCTGCAAAGCGGGCTGCAAAGCCCACATCCAGGGAGCATGGGCCTCCAAGTACCTGCTGAAGTTCTGGATGCCATTTTCTTTTGCCCCTTTTTCTCCCCAATTTCGTGATATCCAATTGGTAGTTACAGTCTTATCCCATCGCTGCAACTCCCTTACCGACTCAGGAGAGGCGAAGGTCGAAAGCCATGCGTCCTCCGAAACACAACCCTGCCAAGCCGCACTGCTTCTTGCCACACTGCTCGCTTAACCCGGAAGCCAGCCACACCAATGTGTCGGAGGAAACACTGTCAGCATGCATGCGCCCGGCCCGCCACAGGAGTCACTAGAGTGCGATGGGACAAGGACATCCCGGCCGGCCAAACCCTCTCCTAACCCGGACGACGCTGGGCCAATTGTGCGCCACCTCATGGGTCTCCCGGTCGCAGCTGGCTGCGACACAGCCCAGGATCGAACCTGGGTCTGTAGGGACGCCTCAAGCACTGCGATGCAGTGCCTTAGACCGCTGCGCCACTCGGGAGGCCCACTATTTTCATTTTTGCACGTCATCTCCACCTCCCCATTAAGCTAAAAGATGATGTGGACATGACTATCCCCTGGCCGTTCTTCAGGGAGGTGAGATGGCTGAATGCAGAATCTTCAACGTTTATGATTGGATTACTTTCCAGCGTTAGGGTCTCTAATCTTTGCAGGCCAAAGAAACTATTCTCTGTAATCTGAGAGACCTTGTTAGTCATTAGGTTTAGGAATGTAGATCTTAAATGTAAAGTCCACAATAGTGATATCATTCCAACCGTTCCAGATTTATCCAGCAACAGAACTGCTCTGAGGGGATTTTTGCGATCTGACAGCGTCACAAGGAAAGTATTTTCAGCCATGTGACAGGACTCTTCTATGTGTCACAAAGCACATTTAACTCGGGGACAACATTGAAATCAGCAAGAACTATCATGTTGGTGAGATTCTTCAAATAATGTATCAAGCTCAGATTAATGGTCGCCTTAACACCAGTATAAAAGCTGATGTTGAGCACCTCAAGCCTTTGAGTATCTCACTGCAGATACTGCGTCGTTCCCAGAGTCATGGTTCTATAAATTAAGTTATGTGATAGTCTCAATACTGTTTCACAAACAGACTAAAAGGAAATGCTTTTCTCATTGAAAGAAACATAACGCAACTTGGAGACATTCGAATGCCACAGTACATTTCGCGTAAGGTTTTCGTGTAGCACATCCGGAGAAGATTATATGGACATTTAGAAAATGTGAAAAGGCGTCCTGCTTTAGAAAATGGGAAAAGGGGTGAGGCGAACAGGGCGCTAAAAGCCATTTTTGTAATTATCAAATAAATTCTATTAATCACTCAATCAATCCATCACCCTAATTATTTAATTACCATAGATCCTGAGAGCCTGGTTGAGGGCTGGCGTGTGGTAAATCATGGCTGAAAAGATGGCATTCACCGCCATGTCAGCCTTCCACCCCGCAACTATCTCGTTCCTAATTGGCTGCTTCTTGCAGGCCAGCATGAGGCTTTTCATCAACTCAGTCCTGCCGTCTAGTGGCTCCTCTGTCGGGTTCCAGTGACCAAAGTCATCACAGAATCTCATGAACCAATCAGAACAACCTGACTGGCATGTCTTCACCTGATTCACAGAGCAAGAGAGAACGTTAGAAAGTGCCGTAACCATACAGATACAATAAAATACTTTTCCATTTTCATTCTGTGGCTGCAATATGATGTGACCTGCATTTATGCATTGGCATTCAGCTATCGAGTGAAAGGTCTTTACAAATATAAACACTGACTCAGTGCTTGTACACCATACCTCATCTGTATGGACGTGGGGAGATTCAATGAGTCCGTGTCTGAAGACAGGCTTCCACAGAGGAGAGGACAGGACGTGGGCCATCTTCCCAGCAGGAAGCTCCTTCACACTGCGGATCTCTGATGACAACATATCACATATGATCAAAAACCACATATACTAGAGACTAGGGAGTAGTTTTCGGTGCAGGCCTTAGTTTGAATTAGGGGAAAGAACAAAAATGGGGAGATTTTTGTTCTTTGTCTCTCTCTCCATCGCTCTCTCGCCCCCTACCTCCTTCCCTCCCCCCTCAGAATCCCTCTCCCCATCCCTTCCTCTCACCGTGGGGTGATTTGAGGGCCATGGTCCTGGAGGCCAGGCGGCCCATGAGTCGGGCCACCAGGAGCTGCAGGTCTGACATCCAGGACACGGTGATATCAGGCAGGCCGTGGGCCGTCACTGTGAACTTATAGCCCCACTCGTTGTTGCTGCTGTCTGAGTGGAACAGGAACTGCAGCTGGGGCCCAGCCTCAAACGTCACCTTCTGTGGAGCAAACAACACGATGGAGAACTGTCATTACCACAGACAGGGGAGAAGATGCCTGTAATGTCTCGGGTAGCCGTGGTTACCTGCGCACACTGTTCCTGTTGCGCACAATCACAAAAACTGAAACAATTTCCGCATCCAAAAACCAACAAGCCAATCACCCTGAAGAGCCTGACTTACTGCGCCTCTGAAGGAGTCATATAGGCTATCCAGTGCCCTATAGATTGGGAAGACCACACGCGCACTGAGAACACGGATCACAGAACACAAAAGCTCTATTAGACGCAAGGATGACAACTACACTCTAGCAGCCCACTTTATCCTGCAACAACACACAGTCAATGAACTAAAGTTCTGGGCAATAGAGAAAATGCAGAGGAATGAGAGAGGGGGTGATTTTTACAGTTTCCTACTACAAAAATATACGGCCGATCCCCACGGACTAAACAAACTAGAACTAAACAGTTTTCTAGTATACCTAGACTGACTAGTATAGCCTCTTGTGTATTTTCCTTGTTTTTCTGAGTTTTTGATGATTGCTATAGTCTCTTTTTTATAATAATAATAATAATAATAATAATAATAATAATAATAATAATAATAATAATATGCCATTTAGCAGACGCTTTTATCCAAAGCGACTTACAGTCATGCGTGCATACATTTTTGTGTATGGGTGGTCCCGGGGATCGAACCCACTACTTTGGCGTTACAAGGGCCGTGCTCTACCAGCTGAGCTACAGAGGACCACATTTATAGAACGTGTTTTATGCACCAGTGCATATACTGTTCTTTACGCACACAACTAACTCAGATTATCCCTTTACACTCTTCCTTTGTATATATTCCTGTGTGTTATTTTTCATGTTGCCTCTATACACTGATGTGATAATGTTGTAAATATGTTTTGTATATAGTTTATTTTCCTGTCATGTGACATTTACTTGTCCCCGCTTCTATTTCTAGAGATACGTCAGCTTCCGTCCAAAACGCTGCCAGAGGACGACTCTAGTAGTCGAAACACATTGCGGTTGTGCGTCCTCATGTACAATGCTGAGCTGCTCCTATATGTAGTCTTGTGTAAATATTTTCTGTTAATTGTTCACTAAAGTTTACTGCTCGTCTTTTTTTCTTGGATTACCTGCCATTTATGGGCATACCTTCCCACTGCCCTAATCTCAGCCGTGATTACCTACCTTTGGCCATTTCTCAGTCCCGACCTTCATGTCGTAACGGACCTTCCCTCCTCTGGCGTCTGTGAACTCTAGGTAGTCGTATCTGCCAGGATTCAAGAGAACGCTACATGAGGTAATGGAAATGTAAAGAGATTTCCTTCATCTCTTGATGATATTATGTCACATGAAGAGGAATTCAAATAATTACACGCATGCAAACAGTTGGTCTTCAGATATGCTAAGAATAAGTATCTGATAAGGCATACTCTTCAATGAAAAGAACAGAATAGAGAGAGAGGAAGAAAAGAGAGATAAAGAGAGGAGAGAGAGAAAAAGACAGAGAGAAAGAGAGGAGAGAGAGAAAGACAGAGAGAAAGAGAGGAGAGAGAGAAAAACAGAGAGAAAGAGAGAGAGACAGAATGGTGTGTGGATGATATGCTCACCTCTTCTCAGTCTCACTGCGTTCGTCAAACTCCACCTCGAAGGAAGTGGCCCCGGGGCAGGCGAAGATGGTGGTCTCGTGTCTGCTGTTCTCGTAGTTATGAGGAGACTCCATGTTCCAGGTCCTCAGGACCACCGGCTGCTGGGGCTGCTGGCAGCTCTCCAGGTCCACCTGGCAGGGACACAACACATCCCACATTAACATAACATCTAGGGTTGCAAATTTGCGGTAACTTTCCATAAATTCCTTGGTTTTCCAGAAATCCTGGTTGGAGGATTCCCAGATTTTCTCCATATTCTCTCATATTGGGACAGTTGCCGGAATGTTGCAACCGTAATCACATCAGACAAACACAGCACATGGGTTTATTCGGTTCCTTTAACCCAGGGGTGTCAAACGTACGGCCCGCGGGCCGGATCAGGCCCGCAAACGGGTTTAATCCGGCCCGCGAGATGATTTTGAAAAAAAAAATAAAAAATGAAAAAAAATTGTAAAGTATAAATATGCGCTGCAATTTTTCAATAATATAAACTGCTGTTCCAATTGCGTCCACTGGATGGCGCAATAGCAATTGTGTTAAGCAAGCAAACTGTTTATACCGGGGCAGAGCAAGTAGGTCAAGCACGTGCAGCCAATGAGCTACTTTGTTTTGCCCGCGATATTTATTACGGCTTCTACTTTTAACATTATGTGCTTTGGCACCCTCATTGCCCTAATATGTCTCTGTCAAAAAAGAGAAAAGTGGACGCAGAGTGCAGAGTGTTCCAAGAAAAATGGTCATCCTATTTAATCACGGAATTGAATGGGAAAGCTGTATGTTTGGTGTGTTCAGAGCATGTTGCAGTGCTGAAAGAATATAACCTTCGTCGCCACTATGTGAGTCTTCATGCCGACAAATATGACAACTTTCAAGGACAGCGGAGATGAGAGAAGGTGAATGAACTGTTGGCGGGTCTGAAGAAACAGCAGTCTGTGTTTACTCACAGCCGAGACATCAGTGACGCTGCAGTGAAAGCTAGCTACCTCATTGCAAATGAAATCGCAGTGGCTTCAAAACCATTTAGTGAGGGTGAATTTGTAAAAACATGCATGATGAAGGCAGCGGAGATTGTGTGCCCTGAAAAGCGGCAGGCTTTTGCAAATATCAGCCTGACAAGAAACACAGTTGCAGACAGGATTTCCGATCTTTCAGTGGATTTGGACAGCCAGTTGAAGCAAAAAGTAAAGTCATTTATTGCGTTTTCGGTTGCAATTGATGAAAGCACGGACATTACAGATGTTGCACAACTGGCCATTTTTTCATCCGCGGAGTTGATGACACATTGACCGTCACCGAGGAGTTCGTGGAGTTGGTGCCGATGACAGATACAACGACAGCAGCTGATATTTTTACTGCACTCGTCGGCGCGCTGGACAGGGTCGGAGTGGACTGGTCCCGCGCTGTCAGCCTGGCTACAGATGGTGCACCCTCAATGATCGGGAAAAAGCAGGCGTTGTGACAAAGTTCAAATGGAGGACGTGATTTTTTGACTTTTCACTGTATTTTGCACCAGGAGGCTTTGTGTTGCAAGTCATTAAAGATGGATAACGTCATGAAGGTGGTCATCCAAACTGTTAATTTCATCGATCCAGAAGCCTGAATCACCGTCAGTTTGACAGCCTTCTCAGAGAGAAAGACCACATCTATGGCCTGCCATACCACACTGAGGTAAGATGGTTAAGCCGAGGTGCTGTGCTGAGGCGTTTCTTTGATTTACGAGAAGAAATTGAACAGTTCATGGAAGAAAAGGGCAAACCAGTGTTAGAATTTCATTCCGCAGAATGGATGCCAGACCTTGCATTTATGGTGGATGTTACAGAGCACCTGAATAACTTGAACAAACAGCTGCAAGGGCGCAACAAAGTTGTCACGCAGTATTATGACAGCATACGTTCTTTCAAGTTGAAGCTGTTATTGTGGGAGACGCAACTTGCCGGTGGTGATGCAGCTCACTTCTCCTGTCTGAAAAATGTGTGCGCGACCCAACATGTGGCAGACATGAAGCGGTTCAAAGATAAAATAACGGGACTGTTACGGGAGTTTGAGCAACGCTTTCAGATTTATGTTTATATGTTTTTATGTTGATGTGCTATTGTTTTTAATTGATTTTATTTTATTTGTATATTTAACCTATTCTTGACTCTGTGGTTCTTGCACTTGTTTGGGGAACAGGATTTCATTATTTTTATCTACATTTCTGCCTGAGAAATGACACCCTGATATAGTTCTGTGATCTGTGATATACTTCTGTGAATCACTGAGGCATTATGTGTTTGTGTGTTCTTTGTCCTCAGAACTTTCAAATAACTTGGTGTTTTATGATTAATAGTGATGTGTGCTTTTGGACACTGTCCTCAGGCTCCAGCTTTATGTTTATATGTTTTTATGTTGATGTGCTATTGTTTTTAATTGATTTTATTTTATTTGTATATTTAACCTATTCTTGACTCTGTGGTTCTTGCACTTGTTTGGGGAACAGGATTTCATTATTTTTATCTACATTTCTGCCTGAGAAATGACACCCTGATATAGTTCTGTGATCTGTGAAACAGTTCTGTTAATCACTGAGGCATTGTGTGTTTGTGTGTTCTTTTTCTTTAGAATTTTCAAATAAACTTGACGTGTTTTATGATTAATAGTGATGTTGTGCTTGTACTATTTTGGACACACTGTCCTCAGGCTCCAGCTTTATGTTGTATGTTGATCGTATTAAAACAAAGAAAACAATCTGAAGTTGTTGTTTTTAAGTTATATATACACCATGATTTTTCCGGTCCGGCCCACTTGGGAATAGATTTTCCTCCATGTGGCCCCTGAGCTAAAATGAGTTTGACACCCCTGCTTTAACCCAAACCATATAGTTCTTCATGACACCAAAACCGTCCAAGTGCTCTATGGTAGTATTAAGGTTGACTGACCTTCGAGAAGATGTCTCCCGTCTCACTGGAGAGGTTTTTAAGCAGCTCAACCAGAGAGGAGAAACTGGTGAGCAGAATACAGTGAGGGATGTCCAGGTAACACAGCTCCAAAAAGAAGATCATCTGACAGAGACAGACAGACACAGAGGGTTGGTATTAGCATTTAGCATTAACCTCTGATAGACGAGAAGGTTAGCATGAGCATTAAGCGTCTCTCTGGATCAGTGTGATGGTACAGTTAGCTAGTTCAATTTAGGTAGAACATAACAAAGACCAGACATGCAGCAGGTGGATTTTACAAACTGCTGGATAACTACTAAATATCCAGATTCGCAGAACTGACTATTGAATGAGTGACGTAGCACCCAGTAAGTGATAAGAGGCAGGGGAGTTTTTCCACAGTGATAGAAACAAAGAGAGTGTACCATCTGTCTGGTGACCATGGCCAGGATGGATCCACTGAGTTTGTCAGTGATCTCAGCTCCACCGTATCTCTGCAGCAGGCCTCCCAGCACTGTCTTAGTGCTGCCCAGGAACTGATCCACATCTACAGGGACAGAGAAGAGACACACTCTTTATTCACTGTGGATCTCTGTAATTTAATTCATTTACAGATGCCCTTCAACCTCACAAAGTGTAATTAAAGGAGTGGTTCACTTTTTTTTCTCTCCCAAAATCCCTATTTTTTAAGGAAATGGCATGTTATAGACACTTTGGGGGAATTTACTTGGTTTTGAGTAACTTACTCTGCCGTAATAGACTTCCTCATTGCCCGTTCTGCAGTATGGGAGCTTCGGATAAACATGAACAAAGGTTCCAAAAATACCAAAATATGTCCCTTTTAGAAACCGCAAAGCTCTTAGCAGGTCATTAGATGTTGCACACATGAAATTGTGTCATTCCAAACTTTATCCGCATAGTTATATTCCGTTTTGTTGGACTTCAGCGTTACATGTGCGAGCATTTGCTGTTTCTAAACAGACTTATTTGGGTGTTTTTGGAGCCTTTGTTCATGTTTATCCATGGCTCCCATACTGCAGAACAAACAATGAGGAAGTCTATTGCAGGTGGGGTAAGTTTCCCCAAACCAAGTAAAATTGCACAAAAAAAGTGTTTGGACCCTACTATAACAAGCTATTTACATTAAAAAATAAAAAATAGTTAAAAAAAGTGAATCACTCCTTTAATTCAATGATCCACTCTACCATCCATCGACAGCATTGTCCTATGTAATAACAAATCAATGACATGCTGTTCATTTATTCCTCTTCAACTAACAAACTAACTAACTAACTAACTAACTAAGGAGAGCCTGTACAAAGGGATATTAAAAGTACCGGTAAGACATATTGGTGAGACACTTACACTTGAGGAGGATATCCCTGGCCAGGTCTGCAGCGGTGGGGGCTGCAGCAGCCCCTCCTTTGAGTTGAAGGTAACACCAGGAGAGCAGGCTGCCCTGCAGAGCCCAGAACAGAGACAGTAGCACCTTCCTGCTAGCCCCACCACTCAGATCCACCATCATCACCTCACACTGACAGAGGGAGAGAGAGATAGACATACAGAAGAGATGACCTAAATTAACATGACATTTTGTCATTACAGTTTGGAATGAGGTGAAGGAAACTGCCCAAAACAGGTGCACTGTTGAGGCCATTTGCTCCACTAGGGGCTAAAAGGATTATGGTTAAGTAAGTAAAGTCATTATAGTTGGTGTATAGTGCCTTGCAAAAGTATTCATCCCCTTTGGCGTTTTTCCTATTTTGTTGCATTACAACCTGTAATTTAAATGGATTTTTATTTGGATTTTATGTAATGGACATACACAAAATAGTGTGAAATGAAAAGTGAAATGAAAAAAATAACTAAATAATGGAAAAGTGGTGCGTGCATATGTATTCACCCCATTTGCAATGAAACCCCTAAATAAGATCTGGTGCAACCAATTACCTTCAGAAGTCACATAATTAGTTAAATAAAGTCCACCTGTGTGCAATCTAAGTGTCACATGATCTATCACATGATCTCAGTATATATACACCTGTTCTGAAAGGCCCCAGAGTCTGCAACACCACTAAGCAAGGGGCACCACCAAGCAAGCGGCACCATGAAGACCAAGGAGCTCTCCAAACAGGCCAGGGACAAAGTTGTGGAGAAGTACAGATCAGGGTTGGGTTATAAAAAAAATATCAGAAACTTTGAACATCCCATGGAGCACCGTTAAATCCATTATTAAAAAATGGCCAAGAGAGGGCTGCCCACCAAAACTCACGGACCAGGCAAGGAGGGCATTAATCAGAGAGGCAACAAAGAGACCAAAGATAACCCTGAAGGAGCTGCAAAGCTCCACAGCAGAGATTGGAGTATCTGTCCATAGGACCACCTTAAGCCGTACACTCCACAGAGCAGGGCTTTATGGAAGTGGCCAGAAAAAAGCCATTGCTTCAAGAAATAAATAAGCAAACACGTTTGGTGTTCGCCAAAAGCCATGTGGGAGACTCCCCAAACATATGGAAGAAGGTACTCTGGTCAGATGAGACTAAAATTTAGCTTTTTGGCCATCAAGGAAAATTCTATGTCTTCCGCAAAACCAACACCTCTCATCACCCCGAGAACACCATCCCCACAGTGAAGCATGGTGGTGGCAGCATCATGCTGTGGGGATGTTTTTCATCGGCAGGGACTGGGAAACTTGTCAGAATTGAAGGAATGATGAATGGCACTAAATACAGGGAAATTCTTGAGGGAAACCTGTTTCAGTCTTCCAGAGATTTGAGACTGGGACTGAGGTTCACCTTCCAGCAGGACAATGACCCTAAGCATACTGCTAAAGCAACACTCGAGTGGTTTAAGGGGAAACATTTAAATGTCTTGGAATGGCCTAGTCAAAGCCCAGACCTCAATCCAATAGAGAATCTGTGGTATGACTTAAAGATTGCTGTACACCAGTGGAACCCATCCAACTTGAAGGAGCTGGGGCAGTTTTGCCTTGAAGAATGGGCAAAAATCCCAGTGGCTAGATGTGCCAAGCTTATAGAGACATACCCCAAGAAACTTGCAGCTGTAATTGCTGCAAAAGGTGGCTCTACAAAGTATTGACTTTGGGGGGGTGAATAGTTATGCATGCTCAAGTTCTGTTTTTCTGTCTTATTACTTGTTTGTTTCACAAGAAAAAAATATTTTGCATCTTCAAAGTGGTAGGCATGTTGTGTAAATCAAATGATACAAACCCCCCCAAAAATCCATTTTAATTCCAGGTTGTAAGGCTACAAAATAGGAAAAATGCCAAGTGGGGTGAATACTTTCGCAAGCCACTGTATAACTGTATGAGATGAAAGAAAAAGGGAAGTGGGGGGGGGGGAATGACGACTCACTTCCCGAGTGGCCACCAGTAGCAGGGTCTCCATGACACTGAGGATGGGGCTGATGTCAAAGTCTGAAGGAGCTCCTTTAGGAGGAAGAAGGAGAAGGCCACTGGGATCCTGGTCACTGTAGTAGAGGAAGGGAAGACAACTGAGCACTAATTCACCTATTGTGTGTGTGTGTGTGTGTGTGTGTGTGTGTGTGTGTGTGTGTGTGTATGTGTACATTATTACCTGAAGTAATTACAAAGCGATTCAAACGTCAGCTTCACAGACTCTGGCTGATCCTCCTCTGTGATGTTTTTCTGAAACAATTAAAAAGAGAATATCGTGCACAGCTGTTAACAACAACTTCAACAGAAACAGCACAAAGTTCACCCATTGCCAATGGTCTGTCAGCAGCAGATGGAGCTCTTTCCCAGTCACTCACCATCATGTGGAAGAGTTTGTCTCTTCTGCTGTGTTTGTCAGGGAAGAAGATGGCTGCTCCGTTCAGAATGGCTTTCACTGCCTCCTTCCTCAGGGCTTTGTCCACCGTCCCCTCAGCCTCTGGACCGTCCACTACTGCTCAACACAACAACACAATTACAACTTTAAACCTTCTCCACTTCCAATACTCTTAATACAAGTCTCCAGTAGCTTTTATATAGTCTTTTATATTTTACCTTGGCTTCCAAGAGCACATTGCATTTTACGAAAAGTAACACTAAAACACCGGTAACACTGTGTGTCTAATAGATGTACAAGGCCTTTACTTTGACAGAGGTGGGTGTAGAGCTCCCACACTGCCCTGGCAGAGTCTGGCTCGGTACCGCTGGATGTGGACGGGGATGCTGAGGCTGATGCTGAGGCTGATGCTGAGGCTACTGCCTCCTCAGTTCCCCTGCTCTCCTCTAGGCCCCTGAATTCCAGCGAGCTGGGACTGGGCAGCAGGGCGAAACAGTTCTGGAGCAGCTGGAGCACCAGCACTCTGCTCTTCATCACCTCCTCTCCCTCACTGGGAAGACAGAGAGACAGAAGGTTGGTTAGACAGATGTCATACACCGGCCATACTCTGTTATCACAGACCACAATAGCAGCAGTCCCATGTGTGACCATGTGATTAGACGTCTTCATCACTAACCACGAGTGGTCAAAGGCAACTGTGGCCTATTCACTGACCACACCATTTCAAACCAACACAAACATTCACTTTATCTATACAGGAAAGGCCATTGAGAGAATAGGTTATCATGACTCAAAGGCGTGTATCTAGTGTATAACATCTCTCTCTGTACTCACATCTCCCGGAGTTTGTTGTAGAAGCTCCAGAACAGGATGAGGTTGAGGCCACTGAAGTCCAGTAGAAACTTCTGCTTGAACAAGGACACATCCTACAGAGTTAGATACAGAGGAGATATATCATGTCTTTATCTAGATATTTGATGCATAGACAGTCAACATGATCATCAAATAACATAATTGTCAAAGCAATGTTATTCGACTAGACCATTTAAAATCTGAGAGCTAAAAACGAATACAACAGCTGTATTGAGAACTGACGGACCTAAATTCAGTTCAGTTTAGTTCACTTAATTGGCCTTATTCATTTGTCTCCCATCTTGATCTTGGACTTAAGACACAATCAAAGGGCCTCCCGAGTGGCGCAGCGGTCTAAGGCACTGCATCGCAGTGCTAGAGGCGTCACTACAGACCCAGGTTCAATCCCGGGCTGTATCACAACCGGCCGTGATCGGGAGTCCCATACGGCGGCGCACAATTGGCCCAGCGTCGTCCGGGTTAGGGGATGGTTTGGCCGGGGGGGCTTTCCTTGGCTCATCGCGCTCTAGCGACTACTTGTGGCGGGCTGGGCGCCTGCAGGCTGACCTCGGTCGTCAGTTGAACGGTGTTTCCTCCAACACATTGACGCGGCTGGATTCCGGGTTAAGCGGGCGGGTGTTAAGAAGCGCGGTTTGGCTGGTCATGTTTCGGAGGATGCATGACTCGACCTTCACCTCCCGAGCCCGTTGGGGAGGTGAAGGTGAGCTACAGTCCCGTGTAGCTCAGTTGGTAGAGCAAAAAATGAATGCACTCACTAACTGTAAGTCGCTCTGGATAAGAGTGTCTGCTAAATGACTAAAATGTAAAAAATGTAATAGAGTTCATTTCTTTGCCCCCTGTAGCTCAGTTGGTTGAGCATGGCGCTTGCAACGCCAGGGTTGTGGGTTCGATTCCCACGGGGGGGCAGTATGATTATTTTTTTTTTTTAAATGTATGCACTCACTAACTTTAAGTCGCTCTGGATAAGAGCGTCTGCTAAATGACTAAAATGTAAAATGTAAATGAGACAAGATCGAAATTGGGGAGAAAAGGGGGGGTAAAATACACTAAAGTAAATAAATAAAATAAAAGACAATCAACATGTACAGACCACACTGACATACATAGTGTATAAGTGTGCAGATATTATGATCATTTTATTTTGCTACAGCAAATAGTGTTTTATAAGCCCATGTAGGCTGGGCATCATTAAGACGCATGACAAGGGCTGTGGCGGTCATGACATTTTGTCATGCAATTAACTGCCGGTCTCACTGTAATTTTCCGCCATTAATTAATAAAAAACACGTTGAGCATCTCCGGCTTCCACGCATCGCCTACAAGCCACTGATGCGGACCTTTTGAACATGCACATTATAAAAGGTCTAATAAATCAATTTATTATAGCCTACACCATCACATTAAATCCATTATTTATTTAAGGCAGGTCTAAATAAATATTATGATATGAAGAAAATTAAGAAGAACATAATAGCATATTCTGAGTCATCCTTATGTTAGGCCCTGATCTGGCTATGCCATATGTCTGTGGGCTAGACTAGTTCATTTAGCAGGCAAGATTTGCTTATAATTCCAGTGGCATTATTTTATAGTAAGAACAATACAATTGAACATAGCTGAATAAAATAGAAAGGATATTTTTTATCCAAACATGCGGCTATTCTGTGTTGAGCGGTTAACAAAGAAACAGTTACTCCTACATGCCGAATTTAGAGTTATTAACGTAACTTTAGTTGTTCTACAAAAGGTTCGGCTATATGTTTCGATTTTTAATACATTCTAAGCCTGCATGATGATTTGAATAAAGTTGCATGGCATGAGCTCTGCTCTGTTTCTTGCGCAAGCTGCACACACTTCATCAGTCTCTCATTCACAATTTGACAAGCACTTGATAATACTTTCACCCATCAGACTAGTCTCAATTTAATCTGGTCTTTACAGATACTAAATAATATACACTGAGTGTACAAAACATCAGGAACACCTTCCTAATATTGAGTTGGAACCCCTTTTGCCCTCAGAACAGCCTCAACTCATCGGGGCATGGGACTCTACAAGATGTCAAAAGTGTTCCCATGTTGACTAATGCTTCCCACAGTTGTGTCAAGTTGGCTGGATGTCCTTTGGGTGGTGGACCATTCTTGATACACATGGGAAACTGTTGAGCGTGAAAAACCCAGCAGCATTGCAGTTCTTGACACACTCAAACCGGTGCGCCTGGCACCTACTACAATACCTGGTTCAAAGGCACTTAAATATTTTGTCTTGCCCATTCACCTGGTCAGCCTATGTCATGGAAAGAGCAGGTGTACCGAATGTTTTGTCCACTCAGTGTATGTGTGACATTAGTTTTGATTTAGAATGGGCCATTATCATGCACTGTCGTAACAGGAACAAGGTAAAAAAAAAAAAAGACATGTAATCCGTATGCACTAGAATGGCGAATGGAGGACGCTTTTCCTATGGTTAATTTTCACACCAGCCAGATAGGCTACTCCGAAGTTGAGAAATAAATATAGTAAGCCTATAGAAAGCTGATGGGATCATCCTCTTTTTAATAGAGGCCATCAAAACTCTGTTTTCTCACGCAATTGCATAGCCTAGTCTTTCGAAATGTTGCGCAACATGAGCTTATAGGAACACTTATTTCATTCCATGCATCAACCAGCTATGAGGAGCTGTTTCTCGCTGCGCAACAGGTGATCATATTCCGGTCAAACTCTGAATGCCAGGGCTCTCATGAAGTGTTTGATTAGATTTTCGATTGCATTTGCATTGATGTCAGAATGATAAGAGGGACAATAGAGCGCTAGCTGTTAGCAAGTTTGGTAGGCTACTAATGACCATCAGCGGCATCACAGTTTTGGAGAAGCCTAGTTACCTTGACTCAACGGTCACATGTAATTTGACTGCGGTCATGACTTGTGACTGCCGGTGTGGCGGTAATACCGTCAACGTAACAGCCCTACGCATGACACTTTTATAATAAAATAAATCAAAACAGTAAAATGACTGAGGGTACTACTGACAGTGGGTACCATGTCTCGCGTAAGCTGCTGGATGAAGAACAGGGTCTTCTTCAGCAGGGTGAGTCCAGTGACCATGTCCCCCTCTGAGCCATCTCCTTGTGGGCTCAGGTCGTCCAGATCATCCAGCCTCTCGGCCCCGGGACACAGGTACCCACTAAAGGACAGGGACTGGACCCCCAGACGCTCTGCACTGTCCTGCCGCGCACACAGGAACTTCACCATCAGGAACTACGGGGGGGGGGCGGAAAGAGAGTCACTTCACAGTTATCAGCATGAGTGTTATATAAATGTGGATGGTGGGACTATTCTTATACTGTTAATTGATTGATTCTCACAACTAACATTTCACATTAGGACACTTAGTAATATCTGATTTCTGCAGATAGATACTCTTATTAGAGGTGGAGGAGAGGGAGGAGCAGGGGAGTGAGGGTTGTTGAGTGTCAGAGAGAGAAAGTATTGAAGAGTGGTTGAATGAGAGAGGAGGAGAAACTAAGGGAGAAACAATCATATGTACGAGGCAGAGAGTGAGTAACACTTGAAATAAACGAGCGATAGAGAGCGCGAAAGAGCGTCGAGTACCTTTGCAACGCGACACGTCTGCAGTTTGATCTCCACGTCGTTCCAGTCATCCTCCAGCTCAAACCAGCCAATGGGCTCATCCTCGGCCTGCAGTGGAATCCTCAGACTGCAGGGTAGGTCACATGACAAACCAGGGGTCAGACATTCATATGGAACAGGTCACTATACTGACTGTAGTTGAAGGTCTCGTTTTACACCAGACCTTCCGAGCATGGCTATGACGTCTGGTGCATGAGACTACTGTTCTACTGACTACTTTACTACCGAGTTACATCCAGAAGAAAATAAATAGGCAGTTCATCAGGGTTCAATAGGCACAGGTACCACTCCGGGGAGGTCCTTACTTGTCTTGTACAAACTCCTTGTAGTCCTTGTAGTCCCAGGAGTCATAGTTTTTAAACCTCTTGAAGTGTTTTTCTGCATCAAAGGTGTCTCCTTCGCTGTAGGCAAACACCAGGCCACACTTTGCTCCAATGGCTCCTTTACGGACCTGTTGAAAAACACAGGTAGTATGGCGCAAACAGCGAATGGTATGGAGCAAACATACAATATGCCACAAATACACTGATAAAGGATGCTTAATGCTCCATGAGAACCCCATTGCTGTGAACACCAATACACTATTGAAAGATATGAACACCACACAGACAGACACTCACTTTAATCTTCATCTGAGTGACCTGGAAGTTGCTCTGGTCTTCTGTAGACAGGATCACGCTAGCTCTCTTCTTACCACTTTCTGTGAGAAACCCTGTAACGAACATTAGAACAACTGATTAAGCATGCAAACTCAAAACATGCAAATACTTGGAGAGGGTGAAAGAGAGAGAAAGAGTGACAGAGAGAGAGAGACTGTAGTAACTATACCGTCTCCAGTGGCGGCGGATTCAGTCAGCATGTTCTCTGGTCCCGACTTCTCCTCTTTGCCCTTCACATCACAGGCCTGCAGGTGCAACTGAAGGGTCTTCCCTAGAGCAGGGCAAAATACACACTATCACTTCAGAACAGCCATATCTAAAGGCCATGGTCCCAAACCATTTGTAATGTAACTTGGGTTGCAAAATTCTGGTACATTTCCCAAAGTTCACAGGTTTTCCAGAAATCCTGGTTGGAAGATTCCCGGAATCAGGAGGGAATAAACAGAAAATCCAGAATCCTCCAACCAGGATTTCTGGGAAAAACTGGGAATATTTGGGAAATTACTCGAATTTTGCAACCCTAAAGTTTTATTGTGTACCACAGTTTCTATCCAGGAACTAGTGTCTACACGCGATTCAAAAGGAATCAGGCTTGATCCTAGCCCACCATTTTGGAAACACTGTTCTAAAGCATTATCACAGCACCATAGCCAGAATCGTCTGGTCAGCAGCCCATTGCCTCAACTACTACAGCCATACTGCTTCTACTCCTAATGGTATGGTTTAAAATGACCACCTAACACCTGCATGAAGGACATAGTAGATAAGGTAAGTGGGGTTGGCTGAAGACTGAGGAAAGGATACTGTAAGTGGGGTTGGTTGAGGTTACCGTTGCGGTAGAGCAGGCGCAGTCTGACCGAGGCCATGGAGGAGATGAGGGAGGAGGCTCTGTACTCTGCCTCCAGGTGCTCACTGATACCAGACAGGGACTGGAGGATCTTAGCCACACTGCCCCGGGCCAGGGCAAAGGCCAACAGGGTCAGTTCTGCATCAGGGGTCACACAGCAACTACAGGGGGTCGAAGAGAGACAGAGGAAATGGTGTGAGGTTGAGAGTGAGTGAGTGAGTGAGTGAGTGAGTGAGTGAGTGAGTGAGTGAGTGAGTGAGTGAGTGAGTGAGTGAGTGAGTGAGTGAGTGAGTGAGTGTAAGACAGACAGAAAGGTGGTGAGTGGGTGTGAGATATACGTAAGATAGTGTGCAAGAGAAAGAGAGAGAGAGAGATAGCAAGCAGGTGTGAGATAGTGTGTGTGTGAGAGAGAGAAGAGCGAGAGGGTGTGAGTGTGTGTGCATGTCTACATGCGAGAAATAGATAGTGAGAGAGTATTTACAAAGAGAGAAGATATTTAAGCAATAAGGCACGAGGGGGTTTGTGGTATATGGCCAATATACCACGGCTAAGGGCTGTACTTAAGCACGACGCAACGCAGAGTTTACTAACGTAATTAGAACAGTAAAAAAATGTTTCTCATTCCGTGGTATATGGTCTCATATACCCCGGCTTTCAGCCAATCAGCATTCAGGGCTCGAATCACCCAGTTTATAACACAGAGAATAGCACCACTCAATCAATGTGCTGATATCTGCCTGTTGAGGTCAGGGACACAGGCATACACATGCTAACACACACACTCTACACACACGTACACGTGGATTTCATATAGTAGATACAGTATGTAATAGTAGAGTAATGGCCTGAGGGAACACACTTAATGTGATGTGAAAAGTGTTATGAAATGTAATGTCATGTAATATTTGTAATTGTATATAACTGCCTTGATGTTGCTGGACCCCAGGAAGAGTAGCTGCTGCCTTGGCAACAGCTTATAGGGATCCTTAATAAATCAAATACAAAATGTCACCATAATGATGTCAGCATAGTAGTCTCTCTGGGCTCCGAGATTATCAGCATAGTGATGTCAGTGTAATGACGTAATCACAGGATCTTTGCATTATTCTGCTATTCTCATTTCAATGTTTTTATTGTCAGTTACACTCATTATATAGTTATATTATATAGTACTACTATAGACTTACTCTGCTATTCTGAGCAGGAACCCGTCCACCTCCTCAAGGATGTTCATGGAGAAGAACTTGGGGAACTCAGTGGACGACGGTGTTAAGGACAGTGGTGGCATGTGCTTTAAGGCTTTTCTACGAGAAGGAAACAGAAGATACAAAGCTCTGACACAGTGCCACAACAAAACATCAAGTCAAAGCATTCAATTACTGTTGACAAAAAAGAAATACTGTACAACAACGTCATAATCATGACGACTAGGAGTTGTTCCTGGTTAGGTCAAGTGGTCAGAAAGAAACTCCTGGCCCTAATGATGATCCCTTCATATGCATGCAATAAGACCCATTCATAACCACGACATCAGGGCCCGTATCCACAAAGCCTCTCAGAGTAGGAGCGCTGATTTAGGATCAGTTTCACCTTTTATATCATAATGAATAAGACAATATATACGGACAGGTGGGGTCCTGATCCTAGATCAGCACTCCTACTCTTGAGACACTGTGGCTACGGGCCCAGACCCCTAAATAAGCATGACATAGCACCCTTCCATAACCCCATAACCCTGTCTCTAGTCGGTACTCACTGTGTGCTCTGCAGGACAGTCTGTGCCAGGACAGGGTTGGTCTCCATTGAGGCTGTGACCAGGGATGTGAGGAGGGACAGGTACCAGATAGCTGAGGCATCAGACACAGACACCTCTTTACTCTTAGTGATCTGGTAGCCCAGGGTCTTCAGCCCGTGGATCCGCGTGTCACAACCATCACTCAGGCACCGCTTGATGTTGATCTGGATGTCTGGAGGCCACAGAGCGGAATGATTTGAATGGCGTAGGATAGGATATGATCGGATAGGAATGGATAGAAATACTTTCTTAATCCCAGAGGGTACATGTCATTAGTTGGCACACTGAAAAAAATAATATTAAACTAAAAACTCTGTCACTAATCGGTCACCAGGGGTGGTCAAACTACGGCCTGATGGATTTAGTAATAAAATAAATAAACTCATCTAAAACTAGATAGAAAGTATGCAGAAATTATAATGGATATATGTTTTGAAATAACTGCTCTCTTTCGCCACTGAATTTCAAAATCCCGATGTGGCCCTCGAGCCAAAAAGTTTTCCGACCCCTGATCTATACTGTATTCAAATTCCTGGGAGAATCAATTTCAAACAGAAGCTTAACCAGAGAAGCAGACTTCTTGCCTCCCCAAAAGACTAACTAGATGAATTGAGTAGTATGTAATACAGTAGGAGCTTTCACATTAGAGACATATGATCCGGATGGATTGCACCCACATCAATTTGCATCATTATTTTCTAGTGTGAAAGGCCCCTAGAGACTGACTCACAGAGGTGAAAAGAGAGGTCCAGACAGACAAGCAGACAGACAGACAGGCAGAGAGGACATGCAGGCAGGCAGACAGCGACTGACTCACAGGGTTGAGTGATGTTGGCGTTCTCCAGCAGGGCCACGTAACCCGTGACGTTGGAGGGGATGCGGACATCCTTGATCTCCTGCAGCGAGCGCCGGTTCTTGCCCACGGCCACCGACACCAGCTGGGGCATGTAGCTGTGGTCGTTGGACGCCACCGCGATGGCCAGGCGACGCAGCACCACGTCCGGCTTCATCTTCAACCTGAAAACACGACGATAAGGTAACATGAAAAGTAGGGCCCTGAGTTTAACCTGGTAACATGAAAAGTAGGGCCCTGAGTTTAACCTGGTAACATGAAAAGTAGGGCCCTGAGTTTAACCTGGTAACATGAAAAGTAGGGCCCTGAGTTTAACTTGGTAACATGAAAAGTAGGGCCCTGAGTTTAACCTGGTAACATGAAAAGTAGGGCCCTGAGTTTAACCTGAGAATGTGACTTGGCCAGGTCAAACTCATTGCCCTAAACATGACACTTTTAATCAAACGACACTTGAACTCAAAGATAATAGTGTACTGGTCATGCAAATCAAACATTGCACAGAAGCTGGATAAAAAAAGGAGCCAAACAAAGAAGGACAAAGTTACATATCTGATTACTGTTTACTGCTTCAAAAAAAAGTTGTTTTCAATTACAGAGGTACATTACATTTACATTTTAGTCATTTAGCAGATGCTCTTATCCAGAGCGACTTTACAGTTAGTGAGTGCATACATTTTTTTTCTCCATACTGGCCCCCCGTGGGAAACGAACCCACAACCCTGACGTTGCAAGCGCCATGCTCTACCAACTGAGCAACACGGGGACGTATACATTAGAAATCAACCACACTTCCCTTTCAAACTGGACGTGAACGCTTGGATCTAACCCTGACTAAAAAGCCATGCTTGTTAGCTGTAGTCTCTCACCTTATCCAGTGTGAGCGTGCGCTGCCGTCTGACTGCCAGAAGGTCACAGTCTCTCCGTTGGTCATCTTGTGGATGTCCGCAGCATTGGATGAAGCTTCTATGAAGTTGTAGCACTGTGTGACCACCTTCACTTTATCCACCTCCGGGTCCCGGTTCAACTCTGCCCTGTACTGGATGTCTAAGTCTGGGAGGAGGGAGAGATGAGAGGGAGAACCAGAGAGGCTCAATGAGACAGACGGAGGTGTTGTTTCTTAGTGAATAAAGAGTAAAACTAGTATTACATGACCTTCATGATCTGAAGATGTGCAATACGTGTGTCATTGACGTGTCATAATAAGTTGTTAGTACAAGGCAATCTGCTTGTGCTAATTTAACAAATGAAATGTAACAACATTCATGTTTCCAGAGGGTATTCTATCACTGTTTTATAATAATTGTGTTTACCTTTCTCCTTCTGAAGGAGGAACTCTAGGAAGTCCTGCACCACGGTAGACCTCATGGTACAAATGCTGTTGTATCCCTCTAGAACAGGGAAAGGGATGGTACTGCTGGGAATACGGTTCCTGTGGAGGAACTTCAGGATTTTTGAGGCATGCGCTCCCAACCGGTCTTTGGACTTGGAGAATATGTCAACAAATCCTAAAATAAAGAGAGATAAGATAAACGTATCAGATTTCTCATGCTTTGAGTGAACACAGAAATCCCTATCCCTCTCTCCTCTACGCCCCCACTCCCTCTGCCACTATCCTTTCCCCAATCTTCCTGTCGCAACTCTCCACAATGTACAGAATACCCACCACAATCTAGCTAAACTCCCCATTAACCTATAACATATCAGTATCACATTGGGTCTGTTCCTACCTGGGGTTAGGGTGCACGCCTGGAGTTGTCTGATCACGTGACTCAGCTCTCCCTGTAGATTGGCCCCGTTAGAGTTCTTCAGAGACATCAGCATGTTCTCAACGTCCACCACTCCATCTCCCTCCGCGTCAAACTGACCAAAGGCCTAGAGCAGGGAGAAAAACACTCAATAAATTCAACTAGGGATAGGGACACAGACGTTCAACTACGTAGGTTTTTCGGCTCCGTTTCAGTCTACACTAGGACGTCACCTGGGTGACGGGGTTAGGAGAGAAGCAAATACATTTGACACACTGACCTGAGGTGGACACATTGCCAATGCCTTGACCCCCCCTGGCCTTTACAACAAACCTCCTAGGAAAGGCCTAGGACAGTACACAGGAGTGTCAACTGTCAGCTCTGGATAAAAGTGGCATAGACATAGACCCTAGAACCAAAACATTGAGCTATTTGATATCTGCCTGCTGATAAACTGTTATTAGATTACACTATAATTTGTTGTCTGTCAAACCAGACAGGTATACTGTTTCTATGGATTGTGGATGTTACTGTGAGTCAGGATTCCATAGCATTCTGAAGCATGCCTACCCTGCCATAGGCACACAATGTCCTAATACCTTGACAGAGATAAAGGCAAAGCTATTCGAACGTGTTCATTCATTACAGAGCAGGTCCTATTCATCTATCAACTCGTGACAGAAATTGTAGCTAAAAGGTTTACAAAAAGTACAACGCAGCTTGTTGTAGATAGAGCAGAAAAGAGGGAGGTTTGGCACCAAAATATCAATGATAACTGACAAACGTAAGGGGCTGACAGCACATAATTTCCACTTATGGCTCGAGGTGTGGTGACACACTTATTGCCTGGCATGGGTTAGACAGGGAACATGTAGCCAGGACTACAATGTAAACAAACCACATTCAGCCACTCCTATGTGAATCACATAAATAATGGACACTTGCTCTATGTTTGATAACATTCTGAGGTATAAGCAATATTGTGGGCTTTATATTATGGTAGTTCTCGCGGAAATAATGTACCTCTTCGCACTCATCTCGCGGAGCGTCTCGGCTCTCGAGCATCTCGCAAAATTGTTCCACATTTACAGATTCCTCTCCCCGGCTCAACCGGTCCTCGAGCCACCGCACCAGGACGCCCTCATTCCCGGCCAGGACCGACTCAGGAATGGCGACCCCCGAGTCGCTAATGCGGGCCGCCGCCTCCCTCAGTTTGACTTGCTCTAAAAGGACACCGGGAGTAGGTGGTCCGCAGCCCGGAACTGGAGGGTTATTCGATCCCCTTCCGCTCCTTCCAGAACCAGAGCCTCCACTGTTTGCAACGCCGACGCCCGTGGCCGCAGAGGCCGGGCTGCCTTCCGCGAACCCGGGGCTCTCGGCTTCGACATCCTCCTCGTCCCCACTACCACCTACGCAGCCGCTCTCTGCGTTTCCCATGTTGTATAGCGGCCTCTGGCTTTCCTAAAATTCGTAGAGGTCCGGTTGGAGATAGTTTTGTAAACGGGCTTGAAAAATCCACAGCCCTTTCCAAGCTGTGTTCTTCCGTTTCGTTCCACTACCGCATTGACGTTCAGTACGTGCCCTACTAGATCGCTCGCTACGTCATCAGAAGCTTTGGACCCAATGGGCGGAGGTGTACATTCTAGGCCCGGATCATAAAATAGCGTAGATGCATATAGAAAACAATATTTGATGAAGGCCTATTCTAAAATAAAACTATTCATGACAAAGCTACAGTACAAAAATCTCAGATTCACTATTATAACGTGCAATGCTGAATGTGCGGACACCAATCCAAACCAGGGAGCTATTTAACCAGATGATTTGTAAATCTGCACTGATGTGAGCATGCGCTGTGGATTAAACGCATACCCGGAAATAATATACAGAAACGGCGATTATCTTTAAAAATGTTTAATTAATTGACAAAATGTAACTGCACATGACAAGGAATAGCTGCAAAGGCTTCGACATAATGCTAGGGTTTATAATTTGATTTCGTTTTGTTTAGTGGCAATACTAATACTGCATCAGGACTGGGCCCACATTACTGACGATGCAGCTCCATCGTTAGTGTTATCTCTGTACAGCGGAGAGGAGGACAGCAAGGGCCTTTACCATGTGTTCGATGTAGAAAAAGGGATGAAACACTATGGACCTGGCGGTGGTTATAATTTATTTGCAGGTGATTTTCTCTACCTAGCTAGCTAACTTAGTTGACTGCCTTAGCTAGCCAAAAAGGACTCCATTTGAAAGTTGGATCATCTTATCCTTTGAGGCTTCAAAAGTGTTCTTACACTGATTTTTTAAACATTCAAAGCAACTGGGACACATCCATGCATTGTTGTCCTTTGAATGTTCAAAAATCTGTGTAAGAACACTTCTGAGCGATAGGAAGCCTGAGTAGCACCACTAATCAGTCTACACTATATAGTCCCGTGTAGCTCAGTTGGTAGAGCATGGCGTTTGCAACGCCAGGGTTGTGGGTTCAATTTCCACGGGGGGCCAGTATGAAAAAATGTATGCACTTACTAACTGTTAATCACTCTGGATAAGAGTGTCTGCTAAATGACTAAAATGTACACCACTGAGCACACACCCGTTGTTACTATGACAACTATGTAAGCAAATGACTACAGTCTGAACACATGCAAATCCGATTTGTCACTTGTCTCTTGCTGTTTGGACAGTCAGCATTCCAAAACGGATAAAAAAATATATATATACTGATTTGAGCATTAAGGCCTACAGTGAGAACAAGCATTACATGTACATAAAAACATGTACAAGATTATATAGCAAATACACTTCAAAAGATACACACAGATTTTGTCAGACTTGTAAATGCATTTTATGCTGCTTTCTCTTTCCCCTTAAGGTAAAGATACATCTCTGGCCTTTGTCACTGTGGACTTTACAGATACCAGTCTGACTGATGACGTTTCCAGTCTGTCCTCTGCTCAGGTGGTGGCCCTGGCTGACCTTCTATCACAAGGACTACAAGCCTGTGGGTGCGTATCAATGCCTGTAGGCCAGGGTATCTTCATGTGAGGGTCCCATGCGTGGTCCATTTGACAGAGGAACTTTTGTCATTGATACTAGCACAGTTGATATTATTGAACTCAATACTAGCCTGGGCACCAGTCTGTTAATGCAGTCTTGCCAACTCCTTATGGAATCGTCATGCATTTGCAAGCAGTGGAGTGGAATGATACTTAGTAAACAGACTGGGACCCAGGCTAGTTCATTACATACATGAAAATAATGGTCAAATGTGTTTATTTTTATAAAGGCCCTCGCAGACTAAACAGGAAAACCCGGTGTTAGCCCACAGGACAAGAATATACAGAGAATCCATTGACATTATGAAGGCAAGCCCATTTGTGAGATTCAAGTTCCCCCTCTGTGATATGCTGCAGGCAGACTGGTGGGGGCGGATCTACAGTGATGGTGGAGAGCCCACAGAGGCCCTGCTGCAGGCGGAGGCAGCCCTGGAGGACGGGCAGAGACTCAAGGCCCAAGCCCATGCTGAGAAGTAACACCTCCCAACCTGCAACTCAGAGTGGAGCGCTGCCAGTAGAGGACAGGTCTGGGGCTCCCCCAAGAGGTACTGACATCATGGTGCACAGAGAAACTTTGGGCTTGTTTAACATTGCAGTCGTCAGTGCAGGCGACTGCCGACTGATTGATCTACAAATCACCCTGAATCATAAGTAACTACTACTCTTTTATTTGTAGATCAGTCAGTAACGATCAACAATATACCATGGATTTGATGCTCTTGACCACGGCCATTGTATTTACTAGCTTAAGGTTGATGGTGGCGCAATAATGTGTACGGCCCTAACATTCCCATGCTGAAGGATATCATACACTAGGGGGCGCTAACTCAAGCCTAAATAACATTAATTGTTGCCTCCTATCTCCTAGAATGGATAGAAGCATTCACAGCCATTATAGAGATCAGTCTATAATGGCTGTGAAGCATTACTAGGGAAGTGTGTTTTTAAACATGTAGCTCTGATTTGACTGTTCTTTTCTCTCCTCAGTGGTGTAGTGCAGAGACTGTGCCGGCGTATCTTGGAAGCTGTTCTCTCCTGGCTCGGGCAGCTCTCGCTGTGTGTCCAGAACTCCTCCACAGTGGGAAACCCTAACATCCAGGATTGAGGGCTGCCCCCTCACGCTGAGTCATGTCAGAGTGTAGCGGGTGAGGTTAGGCAAAAGGGGGCTCTGTGAAGGCTGGGCCACCTCACACAAGGACTATCTACAAGGGCCTATAAACTGTTATCTAAAACTTCCCAAGAGTTCTGAATTAGAATTACTGGGTATCTGATTGTCAGTTTGAAAATAACTTCAGTTGAATTGTTTCTGTTCTTTATGCATGTACATTTTAGTTCTGTTGAATTAATATGCAATATGTCAACTAATTGCAAATGGCCAAATACTGGACACTCAATAATTAGGAATAGAAGGGAAATGTTTAATACTACACTGAACCAAAATATAAATGCAACATGTAGAGTGTTAGTCCATGTTTCCTGAGCTGTAATATAAGAGCCCAGAAATGTTCTATGCACAAAAAGTGTATTTCTCTCATTTTGTGCAAAAATTTGTATTTAATCCCTGTTAGTGAACATTTTTCCTTTGCCAAGATAATCCATCCACCTGACAGGTGTGGCATATCAAGAAGCTGATTAAACAGCATGATCATTACACAGGTGCACCTTGTGCTGGGGACAATAAAAGGCCACTAATGTGCAGTTTTGTCACAACACAATGCCACAGATGTCTCAGGTTTTGAGGGATCATGCAATTGGCACGCTGACTGCATGAAGAATGTTATTTCTCTACCATAAGCCACCTCCAACGTCTTTTTAAAGAATTTGGCAGTACGTCCAACCAGCCTCATAACCGCAGACCACGTGTATGGCGTCATGTGGGCGAGCGGTTTGCGGATGTCAATGTTGTGAACAGAGTGCCCCATGGCGGCGTAGGGTTATGGTATGGGCAGGCATTAGCTACGGACAAGGAACACAATTACATTTTATCAATGGCAATTTGAATGCACAGAGATACCGTGACGAGATCCTGAGGCCCATTGTCATGCCATTCATCCGCCGCCATCACCTCATATTTCAGCATGATAATGCACGGCCCCATGTCGCAAGGATCTGTACACAATTCCTGGAAGGTGATAATGTCCCAGTTTTTCCATGCCCTGCATACTCACCAGACATGTCACCCATTGAGCATGTTTGGGATGCTCTGGATCAATAGTGTGTTCCAGTTCCCGCCAATATCCAGCAACTTCACACATACATTGAAGAAGAGTGGGACAACATTCCACAAGCAACAGCCTGATCAACTCTATGCAAAGGAGATGTTGCACTGCATGAGGCAAATGGTGGTCACACCAGACACTGACTGGTTTCCTGAGCCACGCCCCTCTGAACAACAGACGCATTTCTGTATTCCCAGTCATGTGAAATCCATAGATTACGGGCTAATTTATTTATTTCAATTTACTGATTTCCTTATATGAACTGTAACTCAGTAAAATATTTTAAATTGTCACGTTGTTTATATTTTTCTTCAGTACACACAAAAATAAACAGATGTGGTTAAGACAAAGGACAGGAGCAAACATGTGCCATAAAGTTGCACTAAAACATGTCTTGGACTAGCTGCTTTTAGCAACACAGGTATATTTACATACAATTAGGAGCAACGCTAGTGTATTGGTTTGCACAAAAACAGTTCCCGGGAAGCTAGAAGTTAAATACAATTCCATTTAAACTTACTGCACCGGTGGACAAGAAAGTTGGTCATTATTTTGAGACAATAGCTAAAGGATCGTATTATTAAACAGACTTTCCAAATGTGGGTCTGTTGTAGACCCACTTCCTCTCAGTTTACCTCATGTCAAAAGAAAAGTCCCCCAAAATGAAATCCTTTTTTGTCCACATGGCACATGTGCATGACTTTTATTTTGACATTATGTAAGCAGAATGGAAGTGGGTCTACAACAGACCCACGTTTGGAAAGTCCTTTTAATAATACGATCCTTTAGATATTTTCTCAAATTCCCCCCCCCCATTATAATGACCAACCATCCTGCCCACCGGCACAGTAAGTTGAAATGGAATTGTATTTAACTTCTGGCTTCCCGCTAACTGTTTTTGTGCAACCCAATACAATTGAGAGAAATGCTAGTGTATGCTAAATACACTCGCTTTGCTAAAAGCAGCTAGTCTTGGACATGTTTTTTGTATGAAAATTAGAGCAAAAAACAAGATCCTGTTCTTATTTTGATTACCTTTATGTAAAGTCGTCATCATGTAAAGTCGTCCTCCCTTTTGCAAGGAAGAAACAGGCTAGATATCTGAGCATACAGATACAATACAATGTGCATATAAGATTAACAGAAGAAAATATTTCAGTTTTGTCACGATGACAAAAAAAAAGCACAAACTGCATTAAGTACAAAACAGTTGTAGTGGTCAAAAATATTATACATTTATCTGTACAATTTAACAATACCTAGAGTGGACCACTGACAGACCCGTGGCCACCACCAACTCCTCTCATTCTCTCCCCTTATGATCAGAAATGTCATGTAAATCTTGATAAAGTGCACCTGTTAGGTTTTGAAATCAAGAAGCATTAAAACGGATATGCATGTTTTCTGGACACAGATTAATACACCTAGTTATTGACTAGAAGGCATTCATATTTTCATTGAAAGTGCTTTTTAGTCCAGGACTCAGTTTAATCTGGTTCGGGGAAACCTGACTTGAGGCAATACCATATAATAACAAATCCCCAACAAGAAGACCTTACTATAGGCCCGGATTAAATGGAATGTACACTTTGGTGATCTGGGTGACAAACATAATTCATGATGATTATGATATAATAAAAAAATGTATAGGCTACAAATTAAATGACATGCATAGACAGGCATTTTATCATAAGTATCATTTCATAGCGATGATTATTTTGCATTTGGGACTAACAAAACCTAAAATGGTAAAGGTTCTCACCCTATCCAGTTCTGATAGAAAATACATTGATTACACTTAATAGTTGAGTGCGTAATCCCATTTACCGATGAAGTTATACATCTTTTGACCGTGTGGTCTATAAATGCTTATGGAGGTTGTTTTATGCAGTTAAATTTAAATCACGTGAATATAAATCACCTTTTTTTTTTTTTAAGAAGCAGAGCTCACTTCTTTAACCAGTAACATAGTTAAAATGCAGGAGAGTTTTTTAACCCAGTTAGTGTTTCATGAACATTTTAATCATTGAATCAAAAATGTAATGTTGAAGCACTGATTAAAAAATATGTATTATTTTGTGTGTGTAAAAACTGTAGTCCCTACAAAAAACATGATCTGCTTCATAGTAACTCAACTCTATTCCCTTAAAATCCAACCCACCGGTCTCTTGTCCTTATTAGAACCAGCCACACAGCCAACAGTAAAAAGTAGAGGCCAAAACAACATAAGTGATCATCTTAAATTGACGGAAGTAGAACAGAAATGAACACCTGTAAACACTACAACGGTCAAGGAGTAAGGTCCTTTTTACCCAGAGGGGGTAAACCCAGCCCTGCATCCCAATAATTTGACATTTCTACCAGGTGCATTTTTTTTATAGCAGTCCATTCTTTTAAATCCATGAAGGGAAGTTATAAGTGCACATGTCAGGAGAAATTACAGATTGTGATGCAGGGCAGGTCTTGGAGGGCAGCAGGTGTGCTGCTTTGTCTCAGCAGCGAGTGGCTACTGCTGGAGAAATGCTTTCTGTTTGTTCTACAGCTCCCAACAGAGACCAGGGTCTAACCGCTCCTGCAATCTGACACCATTACATGTTCATCACTGATTCTCATGATTCCTTCAAACACTTGATGAATGATATCTGGGGTCAAAACCATGACAACATGATCATTGTTCCTACTAAGACAATCTGAATAACAGCTCCCTGTCCCCTCAACTAGCCCAGTCCTGGAGTCACTGAGCCAGCAAGCTAGCGTTTCATTGCATCCAATTACACATCATGATTACTTTGATCAAAAAAACATTATGTTTTATAAAATCTACTTCATAAGTCCTGCTAGAACTTTAACATATTTGTATAGACTGGAATGAATAGTACAGAGGTTGTGGTCCATCCGTAACTCTGTCCAATAACTTTCCACAAAGTTAGACCTGGCTGCTACTGCCATGCCGCCACCTTGCCTGGTGTTGCCCAGCCCATAGTGCCAGGGTGGTGAGCCAGGCACGGCTGGCGGCCCATAACAGGAAGATGAAGGGAGGGAGGGTTGGATGGATGGAGGGGCATGCTGTACGGTGCTGTTAGGACACCCCACCCAGAGTCAGCACGTCGAAGCAGATATCACAGACCCTCACAGGCTTGTTCAGGTCAAACTTAATGATGGGGATCTCCTTTATGGAACACTTGTGGCAGAGCAAGCGGCCGCAGTGACGGCTGGGTGGAGACAGGAGAGGAGGAGGGAGACAGGGAGGAAGAGAGGGAAGGAGAAAAGGGCGGAGGGTGAGGAAGAAGAGCAGAGTGGGGGAGACAGTTTGGTGATTAAGGTCAACAGGACATACTTGGAACTACCAATTTCACTTCAAGGGGCAATCAGCAGTTCAAACGATATAGCAGCACCCCACCACCGTTTTGGTAAAAATAATAACAATTGGGATGGGGCTGGAAAAATGTAACCACTCAAATTCAGATATAATATTTGACAAAAACAATCATTTCAAACCTATACTTTGATAGATTTCCAAAATATAAAATCACATGGAGCCGATTTGCTGGTGTTTTTACAGTCTTATGTCCTCCCCCACCCCCCCAAAAAAATATAAAATAATAATAATCACCCGCGAGTCGCCAGTTGGGGAACACTGCTATAAAGTATTTGTTTACATTTACATTGGAGTAAAACAAACTGATATTCTGGGTTCTGATGGGGTGCTGCAGTTCAACCAAGCTCATGGAGGCATTTATACTGTTATACTACTCAAGAATCAATGGCTATACTATTAATTTATTTATACGTTAAAAGGACTGAAGCCGTCTTTAATAGGAAACAGTTTTTCCCGGTTCTTACCAGTGATGTTTTCTTGTGGTGACTCCAAACTTGGCAGCAC